GCCCTGTAGGAACGCCAGTGCTGAAGTCAAGAGAGTGGAGCTCGTAGTCACGGCTGAGCGGCGACGTGCAGCAGAACCCGAAGAGTGGTCATCTTCGAGGTCGGGGAGAAGGTCTGGAAGAAGTCAACTCCCTCTCGCTAACTGAAGCCTCGTGCAACGTAACGCGCCTTGAAGACAGGCGGAGAACCCGGCGGCCGCTTCACCCTGAAAATCCACATGCCACTGACGATGTTCGCCCCAGGTGGGGGAACCTCGTCGACGTAGGTGCCTGTGGACTTCCAGGAAGCCATCTCTGCGTCCATGGCTGTCTGCCACTGAGAGGAGTAGGGACCCTCCATCGCCTCTGCGTAAGAGCGTGGGGTCGGGATGTCTGGTGGCAATCCGGGTCTCCCTCAGGGGCAATCAGCATGGACACGAGATGAGGTAAAGCAGCGGCAAAGCACTCAAACTCCTCCTGTCTGTCCTCAAGGACGTCCGTGCCAAGAGCACACTCACCCCCGACGGACGGAGGACAGACAGACTCAGACTCAGCAACAAGGCTAGCAGCGTAGTCCTAGACGACAGGGCGGCAGCAAAGTCAACAAGCTCAGCGACTAGAGCAGGACGCAGGCAGAGGACTCAAAGGAAGGGTCAGTGACAGCAGTGGCGAGGAGACGCGTGACAGTAGGACTGGCAGCACGAAGGGAGTCAGACGGTGGGTCAGCAACGCCAGGAAGAGAGGACGCAGGAGGAGACGGGCAGAGGGACACGCTGTGGAGCAGTGGAAGGATGCAGGTTCATATAGTGAGTGCCAAGGACAGGAGGAGGACGCTGACGCGGAGCACGACGACCAGTGCGGACAGCGCGGACAGGCGACTCTGGACATGACTCTGGCGACTCTGGACGAGACTCAGGCGACGGAGGACGAGACTCAGGCTCACGACGCTCCGTAAGACTACTCGTCGGCGCAGTGTAAGGAGAAGGACCAGGCAGCGGAGAGGCTGGCTGTAACTGTGACTGCGACTGGACAGGCGGTGGACTCAGTAGGGGAGGAGTAGGACCAGGAGAGGGCGGGAGGCCAAGAACCTGCTGAAGGAGCGGAACGTAGTACGGCCGCGGCCGCGCAGCTCCTCCTGAACCAGCAGAGACAGCACCAGCGCCCTCAGCTCCAGGGTCTCCAGCTACACCTCCCGGAGCACCAGTACCTCCAGGACGAGCACCTCCAGGACCAGCGGCTCCAGCAGCTCCAGCACCAGCAGCACCTCCAGCAGCACCAGCACCAGCAGCACCTCCAGCAGCACCACCAGCAGCTCCAGCACCAGCAGCACCTCCAGCAGCACCAGCACCAGCAGCACCTCCAGCAGCACCTCCAGCAGCTCCAGCACCAGCAGCACCAGCTCCAGCCAGAACCCCCAGTCCCAGCAGCTCCAGTACCGCCTGTACGAGCACCTCCAGGACCAGAGGCTCCAGCACCTCCAGGAGCTCCAGCAGCACCTCCAGAAGAAGCAGTAGTGCCTCCAGCACCAGCAGTGCCTCCAGCAGCTCCAGCACCAACAGCAGCTCTAGCTCCAGGGTCCGCGACACCAGTAGCGCCACTCCGGAGACTGCAGCGCCGAGCGTACCACTCTCGGAGCCACTGGGGAGAGGGCGGCTCCCGACGAGAAGGGGAACCACGAGCACCAGCTCCAGCAGCACCCCTAGCTCCAGAAGCGCCCTTCCTGAGGCCGCAGTACTGCAAGTACCACTCCCGCAGCTGCTGTGAGGAGGGAGCGCCTCCAGGTGCAGCACGGTCAGTCGCAGCACCCTCTGGCTCAGTACCCTCAGACGTAGCACTCTCAGGCTCAGCACCCCCAGGCTCAGCACCCCCAGACTCAGCACCCCCAGACTCCGTACCCACAGGCTCCGCACCCCCAGGCTCCGCAACCCCAGGCTCCGCACCCCAGGCTCAGCACCCCAAGGCTCCGCACCCCCAGGCTCAGCACCCCCAGGCTCAGCACCCTAGCAGGACGAGAGTCGACAGCTACCTCGACAGGCTCAACCGGGTCTACCTGGGACACACCTGAGGGAGCGGCACCCTGAGGGGGGAGGGGGTCTACCACAGCAGCACCTGGTGCGAGGAAGAGAGGCGGGGGGGGGGGAGCGGGGCAGTGCGGTAGGGGAAGAGGCGGTAGTAGGGGACCGACTCGTCGAACGTGACGTCCTGAGAAGGCAGGACACGGCGCGAGGTGGCGTGGTAAAACTGCCAACCAGACGCGTCCGGGACAAAGCCAAGGAAGACACAAGGAACAGCGCGGGAGGAGAGCTTGTCCGCAGACGTATCGCGAACAAAAGCTCGAGATCCCCAGACCCGGAAACGAGACGCATCGCCAACCTCTCCCGTCCAACGCAGTGTCGGCGAAGTCTCCGGAACGGAGACACGGGGCCAGAGGTTGAGCTGATGCGCAGCGTATCGGACCGCAAACGGCCACAGAAAGTGGGGGGCAGCCGCATGGATCAAGGAGGTACGAGCGACCTCCATGACCAGGCCAATGCGGCGCTCAGCAACCCCATTCTGCTGTGGAGAGGCCGGAAGCGTGAACGACTGCTCAATGCCCTGCCCCTGACAGTAGGCCCTCAAGAGGTCGGAGGAAAACTCCCCACCTCTGTCAGAGTGCAGACGCAGGACAGGGAAGTCCGAGTGGAACCTCTCGCTAAGCTGGAGACGGGCAGCGCGGATCCAAGGGATCAAAACATCAGGGACTTCACCCTTGGTGCGCAAGGGGAAGACCGTGGTGTAGCGCGAGTAGTCGTCAACAACTATCAAGAAGTACCTCTCGTGACCCTGTCCACGAACGCGGGCTGGGCCCCACACGTCCATGTGGAGCATCCGCAGGGGAGCTGTCGTCGGGGGAAACGAGGAGGAGTGAGGAGCGGCGCGCTGCCGCCCCCTCGACTCAGGGAAGACAAGGAGGAGCAGGCGAGGGTGGGAGGGGAGGGAGAACCCTGGGAAGACCAGAGACAAGGTACCGTTTGTGCATGCCACGAAGGCGCTGCACTGACGGGTGACCAAGGCGGTGGTGCCAGAGGACGGTCTCGTGCGCCAGAGAGCGACACGAGCAGGGGGCCGACAGCTGACCTGACGCAGACGCAGACGCAGCTACCTGAGGGGACTCAGTGGTCAGTGTGTACAGGTCCGACCCCGGCTGCCGAGTGAAGGTAGCCAGGTGGCGACCCGTCCGAGCACACGTGCAGTGTGTCACACGCTCGTAGGCAGGGGTGAACTGGTGGACACCCCCGTCCTGGAGCGCACTACCCGCCACCAAGTTCGTAGAGAACGAGGGGAGGTAGAGACCTGACAGTGTGCCCGAGGGGACCGCAGGACAAGGGAGGACAGTGGAGGAGGTCGCAATGACCGGACCCCCAGAGGGGTCAGCGAGGGAGACAGCAACCGGCCGAGCAAGCTGCTCAACGGCAGTGCGGTCACGGAAGAAACAGCGGGAAGCACCTGAGTCCAGTGTGAAGGTGTGCAGTGCCTCAGTAGAATCAGTACCAGCAGGCGCAGACGCACGAGCACCTAGAGCAGCAGCCTCACCAGCACCTGGGGCAGCAGACACGCGAGCACCTGGAGCGGCAGTCTCACCAGCACCTGGGGCAACAGACGCACTGGCACCTAGAGCGGCAGCCTCACTGGTCCTAATGCCCGGGTCAGGCGGGACACGCAGGTACTGGTCACTCTCTCCACTAATAGTCAATGCATGCATGGCACCAAGGATAGCATCAAAGTCAAGAGCAAAGACATCAATATTCTTTTTCATCAGATCAGCCCAGCGGGGCAGCTCAGTGGCATCAGGAAACTGTGCACGCCAGGCGTCGTCGAGACGAAAGAAGCAGCCGTGTGCCGTGTGGAACCTCCCACAGGTCTGGCCAGTGCGATCACCTGTGCGGATACGGTACGGGCAGGTACCTCCACCCCCAGACCCCCCACGCTGAGATTACCACTCACGGAGCTGCTGGGAGGACGGGGTCTCGCTGGGACGCTGCTGCTGCTGCCTCTGGCCACCACTGAACCCTCCACGCTGCACCGCTCCACCGCGCCCCGCCACCAGCTCCACCGCCGCCACCACTACCACCGCCACCCCCGCCACCCCCACTACCGCCGCCGCCACCACCCCCTCCTCCGCCACTGACCCCTCCCCCACCAGCACCACTCCCACCACCGCCACCACCCCCGCCTCCTCCACCCCCTCCACTACCGCCGCCCCCGCCTCCACCTCCGCCACCCTTGCCCCCCTTGCCCTTGCCGCTCTTGCGCCTCCAACTAGGAGCAGACGCAGCCCCGACCTCCTCAGCACCGAGGTAGTCGACAGCAGCAGCAGATGCAATGGAGGGGAGAAGGGGGACGGGGGAACACCCCTCAAAGAAGGGAGTGCGAGGGTCGCCACGAGAGGCACCTACAGCTACAATACTCTTCTCAGCTGCAAGGAGCTCCTTCTCGAGCAGGTCGACAGTGAGGTCAGTGGGAGAGAGGGCGAGAAAGTGGTCCCTGACAGCGCGAAGAGAGTCAGGGAGGCGAGTGACTAGGTGGTACAGTGTGAGGTACATCGGGGGAGGGTTCTTGGCGAGGAAATTAGGAGGAAGCGCGGCACGATAGCGGAGATCACTAGTACGGAGGTGAGTGACAAGGTCAGCTACAGTGGCAAAGGCGGACAGATCGGGGAAGAGATAGGGCAGTGAGAGACGGCCTATCGCAGCAGTAGCAGGGGAGGAGTAGCGCGCAACTACAGCATCGTACAGTTCCTTCGCGGTCTTATGCTGGCCAAAGTGCTCGCGCTCATCTAGCGGCAGGTGGCTGCGAACGGCTAGGCGAGCGTGAGCGTCACGGGTCTGCCACTGTGAGCGAGCTGTACTGTCAGCGGTAGCAGCAGGTGCGAGAGCTACGCCGGACGTGTGGTCAAACAGAGAAACATCGTCCTTGGCAGTGATCTGGAGGAACAGGTGCAGGTCATCGAGCCAAACGTCAAACTTAATCGGTCGGCCCTCAGAGTCAAAGGTGAGAACAGTAGGACTGGCCATAGTGGCAGGAGCAGCAGTAGCAGTAGCAGCAGTAGTAGTAGCAGTAGTAGCAGTAGCAGTAGCAGTAGTAGCTGTAGCAGGAACAGGAACAGCAGTTGCTACAGGTGGGGCGGCGCGGCTCGGTCAGGGCGGCGCGACTCGGGCGGCGCGACTCGGGCGGCGCGACTCGGGCGACGCGACTCGGGCAGGCAGGGCGGCGCGACGGCGGGCCTATGCTCGGTGCGCGGCGGCTCCTAAGGTGCGGCTGTGCGCGGGCCGCGGCTGCGTTCGTGCGGGTGGCTGCGATTGAGCGGGTGGCGGCCTAAGGGGACGCGACGGCGGTCGATGGGCGGCTAGTGAGCTACGCGACGGGAAAACGGGCCGCGCGCGCGGGTTGCTAGCAACTGCACACGGGCAGCTTAAGAGGAGAGGAGGCGCGCGAGGGCGCACTAGGAGCGAGGCGCACGAGGGCGCTAGGAAAGGACGGCGCACGAGGGCGCTTCGAGCGGAAACGGTGGGCCCTAAGAACGGTCCTAGGTTCCTAACCCTAGGCTCGTAATACCATGTCAGAATGAGTGAAGTGGTTGGACTAGGAAGAATGAGAGTACAAGTACAAACACTAGAGCAATGTACCCCCTAGAGGCTAACCCAACTGTAGCCTACAAACTATAACACATATAATGTTTGACACTAACTCTTAGTACCAATCACATATGTAAGTAATGCACTTACTCTTAGTACCAACCACATGGTTAAGTAACGCACTTACTCTTAGTACCAACTACATTGGTAAATAACGCACTTACTCTCAGTACCAACCACATGGGTAAGTTACGCATTTACTCTTAGTACGAACCACATGGGTAAGTAACGCACTTACTCTTAGTACCAACCACATAGGTAAGTAACGCACTTACTCTTAGTACCAACCACATAGGTAAGTAATGCACTTACTCTTAGTACCAACCACATAGGTAAGTTATGCACTTACTCTTTGTGACAACCACATCGGTAAGTATCGACTTACTTTTAGTACCAACCACATAGGTAAGTAACGCACTTACTCTTAGTACCAACCACATAGGTAAGTAACGCACTTGCTCTTAGTACCAACCACATGGGTAAGTTTTGCACTTACTCTTAGTACCAACTACATTGGTAAATAACGCATTTACTCTAAGTACCAACCACATGGGTAAGTTACGCATTTACTCTTAGTACGAACCACATGGGTAAGTAACGCACTTACTCTTAGTACCAACCACATAGGCAAGTAACGCACTTTCTCTTAGTGCCAACCACATAGGTAAGTAACGCACTTACTCTTAGTAGTAACCCCATGGGTATGTTATGCACTTACTCTTTGTGACAACCACATCGGTAAGTAACGCACTTACTCTTATTATCAACCACATGGTTAAGTAATGCACTTACTCTTGATACCAACCACCTTGGTAAGTAATGCACTAGCTCTTACTACCAACCACATGGGTAAGTAACGCACTTACTCGTAGTACCAGCCACATGGGTAAGTAACGCACTTACTCTTAGTACCAACTACATTGGTATGTAATACGGAGATAACTACTACAACGGGAGCTAGTCTACGGGGTAGGCACGGGGTAGGAGTGATCGTAGCATTCGTTCCTTAGTCGTTCACTTGTGCTCACTCTACTTGCGTATTCACAGGGAAGGTTGGCAAGAGTTTCACTAGCAAAAGTCTACAACAATGGTAAAGAATGATAGGCAAGAATGACTACATCAGATGCTAGCAAGCATGCAGGTCGACTGCCAGCGCAGCACGGTCGACCGCGTTCCAGCACGACAAGGTCGACCGCGCTCCAGCAGCGCAAAGTCGCGGCCTGCCAACGCTACAGGTCAACGGCGTGCCAACGCTGCAGCAAGGCAGGTGCACAGCGTCGCACCCGCAGGACAGCTGCGCACCCGCATCGCAGGTGCTCGCAGTTGATTGGCGTGATGTGCTTCGTCACCTACACAGCGCAGACACCAGGTCGTCCTCGTGCTGACGACTACACCTGATCCGCCACGTTTACCTCGGGATACCACCACCAAGGTCGGCTTCTCCAAAGACACCTGGGCGGCTGTCGCACTCCTCCGCAGAACCCCGTAGCCCGGCTAACCTGGTCGACCGGGCAACCAGGTTGACGACCACCACCGGTCGACCTCCCCAAGTCGACCACACCCCTGGTCGACCAGCTCCAGGTCGACCAGACCAGCCGCCAGCCGACCACACCAAGTCGGCTGCCTCAGGTCGGCGTCCCCAAGTCGACGCCTCCAAGGTCGACCTCGCTAGGTCGACCACCAGAACTTGGCGCCCACCAAAGTCAGCGCCCCTCCCAGGTCGACGTCTCTCCTCGTCGACCACCAGGTCGAAGTCGGCTGCCGGCTCCCCTCGTCGGCAGCTTAGCAGTGGCCCTCGTGCAGGTCGACCTAGCCCGTCGACCAGCTCGCCAAGTCGGCATCGCCCACTGCTGCAAGTCGGCTGCACCTCCCGCACACCCGACCACGAAGTCGGCTCCGCCCAAGCGAGGACGAGGCCAACCACAACTCCCGTTGACAAGTAACGCACTCACTCTCAGTACAAATCACATGGGTAAGTTATGCACTTACTCGTAGTACTAACCACATGGGTAAGTAACGCACTTACTCTTAGTACCACCACCCCTAGTGCCACTCCCACCCCCGCCACCACCCCCACTGCTCCCACCACCCCCTCCTCCTCCCTTGCCGCCTCTACCTCCTCCTCCCCCACCACCTCCACCGCCACCACCGCTGCCCCCGCCACCCTCACCACCCTCGCCACCCCCACCCTTGCCACCCTTGCCCTTGCCGCTGCGGCGCTTCTCACTAGGAGCAGAATCAGCACCGACCTCCTCAGCACCGAAGAGGTCAATAGCAGCAGCAGAGGTAACAAATGACACAAGCAGGGAGGGGGAGCACCCCTCAAAGACAGAGGGGTGAGGAGTACCACGAGAGGCAGCGACAGCTAGGGCAGCGGACTCAACCTCTAAGAGGCGGGACTCAAACGAGTCGAGGGTGATCTTCGTGGGGTCTAGAGCGAGGAAGTGGTCGCGTACAGCACGAAGGGAGTCAGGGAGGCGGGTCGTGAGAAAGTAAAGGGTGAGATAAATGGGTGGCTTGTTCTCAGCCCTAAAGGTGAGCTCGAGGGCGGCACCGTAGCGGGTCTCAAGGGAGCACAGGTGAGTCAGGAGGTCGGCTATAGTGGTGAAGTCTGACAGCTCGGGAAAGAGGAATGGCAGCGCTAGACGGCCTACAGTGGCAGACGACGGGGACGAGTAGCGCGTGACTACAGCGTCGTAAAGCGCCTTGGCCATCTTAAGCTGGCAAAAGTGAGAGCGCTGGTCTAGCGGAAGGTGGCTACGGACAGAAAGAGCGGCAGTAGCGTCACGAGAAGCCCACCTGGACTGGTCTACACGAGTAGTTGTGGCAGCAGGGGCGTCTAGGGTCCCAGAGGTATGCTCAAAAAGCGAGACATCCTCCCTAGTCTGGCTCTGCATGTACCAGTGGAGATCCTCTAACCAGGACTCGAAGTCTACCGGGTGACCCTCTCCGTCAAAGGTGAGAACAGTAGGGGTCGCCATAGCAGTAGAACGGTAGCAGCAGCAGCAGCAGCAGCAGCAGCAGCAGCAGCAGCAGCAGCAGCAGCAGCAGCAGCAGCAGCAGCAGCAGCAGCAGCAGCAGCAGCAGCAGCAGCAGTAGCAGCAGCAGGAGCAGCAGCAGCAGCAGCAGTAGTAAGGTAGTGCAGCTCTGTAGGGGCAGGGCAGCGCGGCTCGGGCAGGGCAGCGTGGTTCAGGCAGGGCGGCGTGGTTCGGGCAGGGCGGCGCGGTGCTGCGTGGCTCGGCAGGGCACAGCGCAGCAGCGCGTCCAGCAGCAGCACCTCAGGCGCAGCAGTAGCAGTAGCACAGCGCGAGCGGCAGCAGCAGCTCAGGCGCAGCAGCAGCTCAGGCACAGCAGCGCAGCAGCAGCAGCACGGTGGGCTGCAGCTGCGCAGTAGCAGCAGCGTACGCAGCAGCAGCAGTAGCGCGTGGCAGCGCGGTTGGCAGGGCACAGCGCAGCAGAGCCTGCGGCAACAGCAGCTCAGGCGCAGCAACGCGCGGGCAGGGTGAGCAGCGCGCGGCCAGCAAATGCAGCGCACGAGCAGCAAGGGCAGCGCGCGAGCAGCGGGCGCAGCGTGCAGGCAGGGCGCGCAACGAGCACGGGCAGCGCGCTTGCAGGAAGCGCGTGCAGCAGGCAGCGCGCTAGGGCAAGCAGTGCGTGTGGCAGCAGGGCAGCGCGACTCTTTTCGGGCAGGGCAGGACAGCACAAGGGCGCTACGGGCAGGAACGAGCGGAACTAACGGTGGGCCCTAAAAAATCGGTCCTAACCGAGACCTACTCTGAAACCATGTCAAGAAGTGATGTTGGATTGATTAGGGTTGTGAGTACACGTAGGAAACCTAGTTTGACATTAGCCTTATCAAAAACATCTTTTTCTAATGTAAAATGGTAAATATCAGCATACCATACAGCTTCATACCAACTCTGAATTTTCTAGATCACCGCACCCTAAAACTAATGTGAGGGCTTGAATGGGAGTGAGGATGACCTCGCTCTTGCTCACATGAGGACGGACCAAAGGTGGACGTCCATAGCGCCGGACTCACGAGTGTTGAGGGATGGGTTATAAAAAGATCAAGATGTTTGGAGGGTGTTTGTTAAAGTTTAAAAGAGAGAAGAGAGAAGAGGATTGCACTAGCAAGAATGGGGATACAAATAGGAAACCCTAGAAGGGTTGTACTCGCTATAGAGCACCCCACTACAGGCTAGAGCATAAGATAACATTCTGACACACCCCCATAGCCAAAGTGGGGTGTAATCAGCAGAGGAAGCAAAGGAGTACAAGCTCAGGGTGGATCACAATGTCACCACACATTCTGAGCACAAGTTCAAGAAGCAATAGTTTAAGTTCACAATTATGAGCAAAGCTAGTGGTAGTCACAACGGGCAAGTGAGGAGGAGGAGAGAGAGTGAGAGGAGAGGAGATAGGGGGCGACGGCTGAAGCTGCAGACACACGGGCAACAGGAGGCAGACTGGCACAGCGGCTACCGGACGAAGTCCCCGGAATACAGGAGTAACAGGCCCCGCGGCTAAAGTAGCGGCAGACGAGCAACGGACCCACGGGCGGCTGGCACAGCTGGCTACGACTGGGCTACCGGACGAAGTCCCCGGAATACAGGTGCTGCTGGCGACACGACGGCAACCTCCATTCAGCTTCCCCAAACTATCCCACTCCCCCCTGGCACACACCCGCTGCTACACCGCTAGCTCCACTCCCCCTTCACCCCCCCTTAGTACCACTCCACCGGCTCCAACACGTCCACCCCCCCTCAGCGGCAGCTGCAGCACAGGGAGACGGAGGAGGAGGAGGAGCAGGCGACGCCACACACCTGCCACCCCCCAACCGCCACCCCCCAACCGCCACCCCCCAACCACTACCCCCCAAACCCTAAAAACAGGGTAGGGAGGTAGGGGGGGGGGGGGGGGGGGAACGCGCGGCCCCCGGTAGACTCCCCTCCCGTCGCCTGTCGAGGCGACCCTGGGGGGGGCCGCTTGCGGCCCCCCCCAGGGCGCCGCGACGGGCGACGGGAGTTGGGCCGGGGCAGGTCGGGGCCGGGGCAGGTCGGGGACGGGGCGGGGCAGCAGGGGCCGCGCACGGCTCCCCTGGGCAGCGCGACGGGGCAGCAGGGCCGCGCGACGGGGCAGCAGGGGCCCGCGCGCGGCTCCCCTGGGCGGCGCGACGGGGCTGCAGGGGCCGCGCGCGGCTCCCCTGGGCGGCGCGACGGGGCTGCAGGGGCCGCGCGCGGCTCCCCTGGGGCGGCGCGACGGGGCTGCAGGGGTCGCGCGCGGCTCCCCTGGGCGGCGCGACGGGGCTGTAGGGGTCGCGCGACCCGCCGCGCGCCTCGGGGCGCGCGGCGGGCAGGAAACCGCCGCGCGCCTCGGGGCGCACGGCGGGCAGAAAACCGCCGCGCGCCTCGGGGCGCACGGCGGGCAGAAAACCGCCGCGCGCCTCGGGGCGCACGGCGGGAAGAAAAACTGCCGCACGCCACGAAGCGTGCGGCACAGAGAGTAGCAGTAGCAGTTGCAGCGGAAGCAACAAGGTGGTGAGCCCACCCACAGGATCGATCCAAGGGGATCGACCTGCTCTGATAGCATGTTAAAGTTTAAAAGAGAGAAGAGAGAAGAAGAGGATTGCACTAGCAAGAATGGGGATACAAATAGGAAACCCTAGAAGGGTTGTACTCGCTATAGAGCACCCCACTACAGGCTAGAGCATAAGATAACATTCTGACAGTGTTGTAACTGGTGAATTTTACATAACACCCACGATAATTGAGTGCACATGGGCGTTCTGTCAAAATGTTATTTGCTGTGTAGGCTGTAGTGGGGTACTCAACAAAGAGTACAACCCTTTTAGGGTTTCCTAAATGTACTCCACCTGCCTGCTAGTGCAAACCCTCTTCTTCCATTCCTTCTTCTTGCCTAGTTTCAACATGCTATCAGAGCAGGTCGACCCTCCTTGGTCGATCCTGTTGGGCCCACCAATCGCTTCCGCTGACTTCCTGCCAGTCGCGCGCTCCGGGCGCGCGACGTTTTCTGCCCGCCGCACGCCCCGGGCGCGCAACTGTTTTCTGCCCGCCGCGCGCTCTGGGCTCGCGACGATTTCCTGCCCGTCGCGCGCCCTGGGCGCGCGGTGGATTCCTGCACGTCACGCGCCCCGGGCGCGCGACAGAATGGCGCGCGACGGATCCTGCCCGTCGCACGCCTCGGGCGCGCGTCGGTTTCCTGCCCGACGCGCGCCCCGAGCGTGCGGCGGTTTTAAGCCCGTGCACTACCCTGCAGCCTGCGATCCGCCCCTGCAGCCCGCGAGCCGCCTCTGCAGCCCGCGCGCCTGCCCTTTGCAGCCCGCGCACTGCCCCTGCAGCCCGCGGGCCGCCCCTGCAGCCTGTGCGCTGCCCCTGCAGCCCGTGAGCCGCCTCTGCAGCCCGCGCGCCTGCCCCTGCAGCCGCGGGGCAGCTCCTACCCCGCCCCCCCGCCCCCCCACTTCTCCTTCATCTCCCTGCTGCGCGTGCAGCCGTGGGGGGGAGGGTATGGGGGTGGCGGGCGTGAGTGATCAGCTGCGCTCCTCCTCCTCTCTCTCCCACTGCTGCAGCTGCCGCTGAAGGGGGGGAGGGTGTGGGGGAGACGGGGGAGTGGCGCTAGGGATGCCGAGGGGTGTGAAAGGGGGTTTGGGACAATGCGAGGAGGTTGACGGCGGGTGGCCGTCGTGAATTCCGCAGCTCCAGTCGCCCGTGAGACCGTTGCGCCAGGGGCCTGTCTGCCAGTTGCTCTAGTCGCCCGTGGGTTAGTTGCTCTTGCCGGCGAGCAGAGCCAGTTACTCCAGTTGCCTGTGTGCCAGTTGCACCAGTTGTTCGTGCGCCAGTTGCTTCAGTTTGCGCCGTGTGCCAGCAGCTTCAGCGGCCGCCCACCTCCTCCTCTCCTCTCCTGGTCCCTCCTCCTCACTTGCCCTCTGTTTCTACCACTAGGCTTTGCTTGTGAACTGGTCCTGCGACTGCTTGTTGTGTTGGCTATCCCCCACTTCGCCTATGGGGGTGTGTCAAAATGTTATTTGCTGTGTAGGCTGTAGTGGGGTACTCAACAGAGAGTACAACCCTTTTAGGGTTTCTTATATGTACTCCACCTGCCTGCTAGTGCAAAGCCTCTTCTTCCATTCCTTCTTGCCTAGTTTCAACACGTTCAACCATGGGAGGTGCACTATGCGGGGAATTAAGTAGTTTCACCAGGTCCATGTACGTAATCATTGGAGTTATTAAAAAAAAACACATTTAGAGGCTGAGCTGATGTGTTTCTAAATCATTGAAGAAAAATTTGGTTGATATATTCAGCAAATGTTGTGATTACAAATATGGACCGCAAGTTAAAATTCCTCAAGCTGACAAGATGTAGGTTTTGGCTCCCCGCTAACGCATCATGACAGTGGCGAAGAGGGTTTCCACGTTCACGGTCGAACGATCATCAGTGAAGGTACGGCCTCGCTCGCACAGTGCCGGGAGAATCACCCCAGTCCACACCCTCATCCCCCCTAGCGCTGACAGCCTGACAGCAATGCTCAAAGCACAACCACCGCCGACCTGTGGTGGCGGAGCAGCAACCTAGTTCCGACTGTGCGACTCACATCACAATCCAGTCGTGCTACATGCGGCTCCTCCCCCGCCGCATTCACCGCTTCCCCGTGCTCTCCCCTCTCGCCGCTCGCCTCTCCGCTAGCCTCGACACCATCATCTCGTCATTACGATTTTTTCCGCGGCTCCGTTTTCCCCTTACCTCTCGCGCAGCGCGCGCGGTGGGGCGGCATGGCGCGCATGGTGCAGTGCCCGCGCTGCCGCGCCGTGCTGCAGGAGCCGCCGCCCGGCAACCCGTTCTACAAGTGCGGCAGCTGCATGACCGTCCTGCAGGGTAACGCGCCCCCACCGCGCTCCCCACCGCAGCGCGCTCTCCCGGGCTGCTGTTAAGCTCGAATGATTCATTCTCTCGATAGGCCCTCGTTCTTTCTCTCTCGTGCCCTATGCGTCCTTACCCTCCCCACCTTCGTCCCGCCCCCTCACCCGTTTCCCCTCACCCGTTTCCCCTCACCCGTTTCCCCTCACCCGTTTCGCCTCCCCCGTTGCTCCGCACCCATTGCCCCCATCTCGTGCGCGCAGCGCGCCATGCGGTGTACGGGGGAGTGCCGCGCCACCCCGTCGGCATTGACGTCGGAGGGCGATCGTCCGCCTCCTTCTCCCCCCTCCCGCCCCCCCACTCGCGCGGGCCCCCCGTTCCGCGCAACCACAGCGCAGACCGCCCTCCGCCGTCTCTCTTCGCGTCGCCACACGCCACCCCTCCGCGACCCCCGCAGATCTCCAAGTCGCTCTCGCAGGGCGCCTCCTCCTCCGCGCTCCAGCATACTCCCGCCTCCTCCTCTCCCCGCGCGCCCGCGGCCTCCTCTTCCCCGCGCACCTCCCTTTCCGCCGACCCCTCATCCCTGTCCTTCCGCCCGCGCGCCCTCTCCGCCTCCTTTGCTGGGCGCGGCGGGGCGGGCGCGCGGGCAACGCTGTTTGGGCACGAGATGGCGGAGTGGGGGGACGAGGGCGCGGAGGAGGAAGAGCCTGGGGAGGCAGGCGCAGGGGCATGGGCGGGGGAGGGAAAGGGCGGAGGGGGCGGAGCCAGGGGAGGGCGGATTCGGTGGTCAGGCGGACACGCCTTACCGCAGGGGCGGGGGGGAGGAGCTCAGTGGCGGAGGGGCGCAGGCATGGGCGCAGGCTGGCGGGCGGGAGGAGGAGGGCAGTGGGGAGTGGGGGCAGGGCGAGGGGGGCGAGGGGGGTGCGCCAGTGACAACAGGCAGCAGCCCCCCTAACCCCTCCGCCGCCTTTGGCCGCCAGTCCACCCTCCCCCCCCGCCTGCCCCGCCACGCCAGCCCCCTCCAGACGCCCTCCCCGCGCTCCTCCGCCCGAGCAGGCGCGGCGAGGCGGAGGGCGCTGGGTTCTGGCATGTGGGCGGGGGCAGGGGGGAGCGGGAGGTGGGCGCAGGGGGAGGGGAGCGGCGAGAGGGAAAGGGAGGAAAGGGGGGAGGAGGGGGAGGAGGCGGAAGAAGGGGGGGCGGTGGTGTGGCCGAAGGGGTGGGCGGAGATAGATGCAGCATGGTCGGAGGGGGATATGGGGGGAAGCATGGGGGGGAGCATGGGCGGAAGCATGGGGGGGGACATGGACGGGGGAGTGGCATGCACCCAGAGCATGGATGGCGGGTATGGCAACAGCAGGGGCGGGCGGCAGGGCAGCAGGGGGAGCATGGATGGGGAGGGGGGGAGGGGAGGCAGTGGGAGGAGACTGAGTATGAGTGCGAGCATGAATGCGAGCATGGGCATGGGGTTGGGGTTGGGTGGGTTCGGCAGCAGCAGCAGCGGCGGCGGCGGCGGGGGAGTGTCACCACCACCAGCATCAGCATCAGCATCAGCAGCAGCAGCATCAGGCGCATTGGCCCCGTCTATGTCGCTGCGCCGCCTCTTCTCCCGCCACGCCTCGCCCGCCGCTCAGCGCGAGGGGGAGGGCAGCGCAGCACAGCTGGCCAGTGCGGGGTCGGCCGTGGGGGCGGGGCAAGGGGGCGCGGGGGAGGGCGAGGGAGAGAGCAGTGAGGGCGAGGAGGGCGGCATGGCGGAGGCGTTCACTCGCCAGTACACCGCCCCGCCCCGCTGCTCCGCTGCCTCTCAAGGCGACGGTCGCGGTGGGGAGGTTGAACCCCAGGGGCTGAGAGGGGCGGGGGGGAATGACTGGGACCAGCCTGCTGACCTGGACCGCCAGGGCAGCTTGCCTGCCACGTCAGCAGGCGAGGGCGACGAGAAGGCCAAGGAGGGGAGGGAGGGGGAGGGAGGGCGCTCGGGGTAGGGAGCGGCGCAACATGAACATGAACATCAACATCGGGTCAAAACTCAAGTCGCTGTGGGAGGCGAAGCCGGGTGCCTCCCCGCGCAGCAGCATGAGCAACAACAGCAACGGGCCTCCCATGCAGCGCAGCAGCACTGACTCGCGGCGCTCCCCCACGGGTGGGATGGGGCGAGGGGGCATGCAGGCGGGCGAGGAGGGGGGCGTGGCGGACAGTGAGGCAGCGGGGCCGTTCCGATCGCACACGAGTGGACGCATGGGCAGTGGCACGGGCGGGAGTCCTGAGGGAGCCACATGTGATGATGAGAGCGGCAGTGGCAGCGGCAGGGCCCCAACGCGGCATGCGTCCATGGCTTTCCACTTCTCGCCCGCTGTGCTGGCCCCCTCCACGCGCTCGCCCCGCTCCTCCTCCTTCCACCGCTCGCTCTCCGTTCCCCGCCGCCTGGCTGCTGGGGCAGGCGGCGCAGGAGGGGAAAACGGGGCGGGGTGTAATGGTGCCGAGGGGGACGAGAGCGAAGGGGGTGTGTGTCCAGGAGAGGGTGAGCAAGTGGATACAGCAGCAGGTGAGCAAGTGGATACAGCAGCAGGTGCGCCACTCTCCCCCTCACCACTGTCCCCCTCGCCGATCTCCCGTTCGCCGCTCTCCCCTGCAGTGTCCTCCAGTCGCCACATAGCTCGCAGCTTTCAGAGTGCGAGGGAAGTGCGAGGCGGGGCGGGCATGGTGGGCACTCAAGCCACGGGCAGCGCTCCGGGGTCACCCATGCGGGGGGCAGCAGCCCTGCAGGCTGCACGCATGGCATCAGTGGCACGCGATGCAGCGACGGTTGGGGATGCAGGGGCGGAAGAGGCGAGGGGCAGTGGCCGGGCGGAGGATGGAGCAGCAACGGGGCGTGAGGAATCGGAGAGAGGCGAGGGCATTCAAGCAGGAGCAGCTGATGGCAGCCCACCAGGTGGTGAGAGTGTGCCGAATGGAGAGAGCAGGGAGGGTGGAGGGGCGGGGGCGGAGGCAGAGGGGGAGGAGGGGCCAGCGAAGGTGAAGGTGACGCGGCGGCAGTACATGGAGATGAAACGCGCTGCCCAGGCTGCCGTTGCTGCCCAGGCCGCTTCCCAGGCTGCTGCTGCTGCTGCAACAGCAGGTGGCAGCAGTGGAGCGCAACCCGCCCCTGCCATGCCCGCCACCCCGCGGTCGCGCTTCGCTGACGCCCTGCAGAGCCCGCGCCTGCTGCCTGAGTGGCATGGTGGGCGGGGCATGGGCGCGGGTAGAGGGGCGGGCAGCGTGCTGGAGAGGCGCAAATCGGGCCTGAGAGGCAAGGCGGCGAGAGACGCCGCCACTGTTGCTGCTGAAAGGGCTTCTAGTGAAGGCGGTGCTGTGGGTAGTGGCGTGCAGGGTGGAGGGGAGGGCAGCCGAGGTGGAGAGGTGGAGGGTAGTGGTGCTGTGAGGCAGGCAGGGAGCATGGGAGATGCAGGGGCAGACGGCGAGGTGGGGGGAGTTGAGGAAAGTGAGGGGGAGGTGGTGAAGGAGGCAAGGGAGGGCGGTGGAGCAGTGAGTGGTGACTTGCCATGCCTGCCGCCGCCTGACGCCCCTCAAGTCGTGCAGGTATGGCCACACACATAGTTCCATATCTCGCTCTATAATCGTATTATTTCCGTCACGACCCCCTAGCCCCCCCCACTCCCTCTGCTCCACCTGCAACCCTTATCTACTCATACTCTCCTAAGAGCAGAGCACCTCATCTTGCCCTTTCGCCTCCGCCTCTTCCGCCCACCCCGCTTCTACAGAGTACCTCTAGGGCACCTCATCTTTTGAATAGGCCTCCATCCGTCCCCTCCCCTCCGCCTCCCCCTCCGCCTCCCCCTCCGCCTCCCCCTCCGCCCCAATCAGTGTCCGCACTGCGCTCAAGCCCTCGCCGTGCCGCCCATGCCGCGGCGGCGCAAGCAGGGAGGCGTGCAGAAGCTGCGGTGCGGCGGCTGCCAGCAGATCTCCACCTTCGCCGCCCCGCCCCTCCCCTCGCACTCTCAACCCTACCAGCCGCCCTTCGCCCCCGCCCACCCCCCCTCCTCACCGTCAGCGTCCCTCAGCCCATCCCCCCCGCCACCCCCTCGCCTCCCCCTACCGCTCCCTCTCCTCCCCCCTCGCGCGCCTCCCCCTCGCAATCCCGTCCAGCCCCCACGGCCACCCCGGTTCCCCCAATGCCACGCCCAGGGCGGCCCCCCAGTCCCCTCAGGGCGTGCCGAGGAGCACGAGCCAGGAGAGTGGGTCGAGGGGGGCGGGGGGGGGCTGGCATGGGCACGGGCAGGGCGTGGGAAGCAGGCGGGGGGATGTGACACGAGACCTGTCGCCCCTCAGCGTGCCCTCGCCCCGCCTCGCCCGCGCACGAGGCAACCCCGCCCCCTCGCCCCTCAAGGGGCACTCAGGGGCGCGGGGGGCAGGCAGGGCGCTCAATGGCGTGGTGGGGGCGGGGGGAGGAGGAGAGGGGCGGCTGCGGGGAGGTATGAGCAGTGGTGGGCAGGAGGGAGACAGAGAGGAGGGGGATGGGGCTGGGGATGTGGGGGGGCGTGTGAGTGGCAGGGGGGACGAGGGCGAGTGGGGTGGGGCAGGGTGTGGGGCGGAAGGGTGGGAGGGGCAGACGGGTGGAGAGGGGCAGGAGACAGAGGGGGAGGGGGAGGGGTGGGTGGGGGAAAGCAATGGGAGCGAGTGGAGTGGGGGGGCGAGCACGGAGTGGAGTGGGGGAGGGGGAAGTGTGCAGTGGAGTGGTGACAGCGGCAGCGAGTGGGCGGGGGAGCGGGGGCGGGGCGAGGGAGGGCGAGACGTATGAGCGGAGAGTGGTGGTGAACGGGGCTGCCATCAGCGATGCAGACGTGCAGCAGGCAGAGCTGCTGGCGGGACCCATCGATCCCGGCCACTACTGGTGCCCCCCTCCTCCCCCCTCCTCCCCCCTCCCCCTCTCTCCCACACCTCCTTCTCCTCCGCCTTCCCAACCCTCCTCAAACCTCGCTCTCTCTCACTCCCTTTACCTTGTTCCATCGCCCCACCCCCTCCTCCCTCTTCCCATGTCCTCTCCCTCTCGCTCTCCCTTGTTCTCTTGTCACACACAAGTCCGTGTACCGTGCTTGCTCGCTCAGCTTGCCCCACTTGTCCTGCTCTACTCCCCTGCACCCCTCCGCAGGTACGACATGCGAGCTGGCTTCTGGGGAGTCATGGGTGGACCCAGCCTCGGCATTCTGCCTGTGATTTCCGCCTTGCACCTCCCTGCACCTCCCTGCACCTCCCTGCACCTTCCTGCACCTCCTGTCACCTCCCTGCACCTCCCTGCACCTCCTCACACCTCTGCACCTCCCTGCACCTCCTCACACCTCTGCACCTCCCTGCACCTCTTCACACCTCTGCACCTCCCTACATTACTCAAGTTAGTTCTATTCTGTCACACCTTCTCATACTCGTCCTTCCTATTCCCACCGCACATGCCACCTCCACTTCCAACCCTTTAATGTTAGATTATAGCATCAGTTGGGTTGTAAATGTGCAAGTGTAACACCCAAACATGGGTGTACACTTTGGGCCAAGGCGCCCCAACCAGTTTTGGTTGGGCACGTCCCAACCCCACTCTGCCACAAATGGCGGGGGGGACCAGGCTCCCCAATAATCGACAGACACCTCCAAAACATTATTGGTGGCCACTCCCATTGGCTCACCAATAATGTTGCGGGTACTCAACCTAGGTCCCCCACTTCTCATCGCTTATATGTACCCACGATCTTTCTAATCAAATCAACTCTTGAGTTCACCTCTCATCCCAACTATGGGATTCTCACATGGTATCAGAGCTGTTTTGGCTAACGCCACCTTCCCCCTCCCTAGGAACCTCCAGCCACCGTGCTGTCCTAGAAGATCCTCGGCCCCGTGCCACCTTCATGGTCTTTGCACCACAAGCCTTCTCCCCTTCCTCAGGCTTTCCTTCGCGGCGTTTGCGGCACTTATCCGCGCCGACCAGCAGGACGTCCGCGCTGACCTGCGGGACGAACGCGCTGACCTGCGGGAAGAACGCGCTGACCTGCGGGACGAACGCGCTGACCTGCGGGACGAACGCGCTGACCTGCGGGACGAATGCGCGGACCTGCGGGAGGAACGCGCTGACCTGCGGGACGAATGCGTCGACTGTCAATCTCGCTCCCGAGGGCATTTCGCCCGTCAGTTTCGCTCCCGAGGGCATTTCGCCCATCAATCTCGCTCCCGAGGGCATTTCGCCCGTCAGTTTCGCTCCCGAGGGCATTTCGCCCGTCAGTCTCGCTCCCGAGGGCATTTCGCCCATCAATCTCGCTCCCGAGGGCATTTCGCCCGTCAGTTTCGCTCCCGAGGGCATTTCGCCCATCAATCTCGCTCCCGAGGGCATTTCGCCCGTCAGTTTCGCTCCCGAGGGCATTTCGCCCATCAATCTCGCTCCCGAGGGCATTTCGACCGTCAGTTTCGCTCCCGAGGGCATTTCGCCCGTCAGTCTTGCTCCCGAGGGCATTTCGCCCACCACACACCGCTCCTCACAGCGTTCCTCCACACCTTCACCCTCTCTTCAACACGCTTCCGCCCCCTTTTCCCTCTGTACGTCCTCCTTGAAGCCTTTTAGCCTCCTCTCCCCTTGCTGCTCCTCCTCAGGGCCATCCAGCCCTCTCCTCTCCCCTCGCCTTCTCCTCCTGAGGGCCTTGCAGCCCTCTCCTCTCCCCTCGCCTCCTCCTCCTCAGGGCATTCCAGCCCTCCTCCCCCCTCGCTTCTGCCTCCTCAGGGCATTCCAGCCCTCCTCCCCCCTCGCTTCCGCCTCCTCAGGGCATTCCAGCCCTCCTCCCCCCTCGCTTCCTCCTCCTCAGGGCATTCCAGCCCTCCTCCCCCCTCGCTTCCGCCTCGTCAGGGCATTCCAGCCCTCCTCCCCCCTCGCTTCGTCCTCCTCAGGGCATTCCAGCCCTCCTCCCCCCTCGCTTCCTCCTCCTCAGGGCATTTCAGCCCTCCTCCCCCCTCGCTTCCGCCTCGTCAGGGCATTCCAGCCCTCCTCCCCCCCTCGCTTCCTCCTCGTCAGGGCATTCCAGCCCTCCTCCCCCCTCGCTTCCTCCTCCTCAGGGTATTCCAGCCCTCCTCCCCCTCGCTTCATCCTCCTCAGGGCATTCCAGCCCTCCTCCCCCCTCGCTTCCTCCTCCTCAGGGTATTCCAGCCCTCCTCCCCCTCGCTTCATCCTCCTCAGGGCATTCCAGCCCTCCTCCCCCCTCGCTTCCTCCTCCTCAGGGCATTCCAGCCCTCCTCCCCCCTCGCTTCCTCCTCCTCAGGGCATTCCAGCCCTCCTCCCCCCTCGCTTCCGCCTCGTCAGGGCATTCCAGCCCTCCTCCCCCCTCGCTTCCTCCTCCTCAGGGCATTCCAGCCCTCCTCCCCCCTCGCTTCATCCTCCTCAGGGCATTCCAGCCCTCCTCCCCCCTCGCTTCCGCCTCGTCAGGGCATTCCAGCCCTCCTCCCCCCTCGCTTCCTCCGCCTCGTCAGGGCATTCCAGCCCTCCTCCCCCCTCGCTTCCACCTCCTCAGGGCATTCCAGCCCTCCTCCCCCTTCGCTTCCTCCTCCTCAGGGCATTCCAGCCCTCCTCCCCCCTCACTTCCGCCTCGTCAGGGCATTCCAGCCCTCCTCCCCCCCTCGCTTCCTCCTTGTCAGGGCATTCCAGCCGTCCTCCCCCCTCGCTTCCTCCTCCTCAAGGCATTCCAGCCCTCCTCCCCCCTCGCTTCCTCCTCCTCAGGGCATTCCAGCCCTCCTCCCCCTCGCTTCCTCCTCCTCAGGGCATTCCAGCCCTCCTCCCCCCTCGCTTCCTCCTCCTCAGGGCATTCCAGCCCTCCTCCCCCCTCGCTTCCTCCTCCTCAGGGCATTCCAGCCCTCCTCCCCCCTCGCTTCCGCCTCGTCAGGGCATTCCAGCCCTCCTCCCCCCTCGCTTCCGCCTCGTCAGGGCATTCCAGCCCTCCTCCCCCCTCGCTTCCTCCTCCTCAGGGCATTCCAGCCCTCCTCCCCCCTCGCTTCCTCCTCCTCGGGGCATTCCAGCCCTCCTCCCCCCTCGCTTCCTCCTCCTCAGGGCATTCCAGCCCTCCTCCCTCCTCGCTTCATCCTCCTCAGGGCATTCCAGCCCCCTCCCCCTCGCTTCCTCCTCCTCCGGGCATTCCAGCCCTCCTCCCTCCTCGCTTCCTCCTCCTCCGGACATTCCAGCCCTCCTCTCCCCTCGCTTCCTCCTCCTCGGGACACTTCAGCCCTCCTCCCCTCTCACCGCCGATGCGTTGCTCGGCTACCCCGTTCTGTTGCGGCGAGTCTGTTAGCGTGTAAGACTGGATGATCCCCCGACCCTGACAAAACGTCTCCAGGCGAGTGGAAGAGAACTCACCACCACGGTCTGAGTGCAGGCGGAGCCCACAAAGGGCCTAGGCGTCACCCCTCGCTAGTAGCCACGGCTCGAGGACGATAGGCACGTCGGCCTTCCGTCGCAAAGGTAAAACCGTGGTGTAGCGGGAGTAGTCGTCCACCACAATCAGGAAGTAGCGCTCCTGACGTGGGCCACGGACCGGGGAGGGGCCCCAGACGTCCAAGTGCAGAGTCTGGAAGGGAGCCGTGGTGGGGGGAGTACGACGAGGAGTGAGGGGCAGCGCGCTGCCGACCCTCGACGCAAGGAGTGAACGGCGGCGCAGGCGAGCGAGGAAGCGGGGCAAGCGACTCTGGGAGACCTGAGACCAGACGGTGACGTACCATCCTACTGAGACGTGGGAACGGCGGATGACCTAGACGGTGGTGCCAAAGGACCGACGGGTGCGTGAGTGACCGACAGTCGCACGACACAGCAGCTATCTGACCTGACCTGACCTGACCTAGTGTGGTGGGACCCAGTGTGTAGTGAGTACAGACCAGAGCCCGGCTCCCTGTGGAAAGTGGCCAGTGGCACTCCAGTGGCACCGACAGTGCAGGAGGCAACAGGCTCGTCTAAAGGGAAAGTGGTGACAACTCCGAGGTCGTGGAGGTGACTGACACTCACCAAGTTCCTAGAGAACGAGGGGGTGTAGTAGCCTGTGAGAAACTCAGAGGGAGCCGCAGCACCTTGGGCTGGCTTGCCTCCTCACCTGCAGCAGCCCCCCTCCCGGCTTGAAAATTCAGGGGTTGTGCACATTTAAAACCCTTCTTCTGCTAAGGGGTTGTGTTAGATTATAGCATCAGTTGGGTTGTAGATGTGCAAGTGTAACACCCAAACATGGGTGTACACTTTGGGCCAAGGCGCCCCAACCAGTTTTGGTTGGGCACGTCCCAACCCCACTCTGCCACAATTGGCGGGGGGAACCAGGCTCCCCAATAATCGGCAGCCACCTCCAAAACATTATTGGTGGCCACTCCCATTGGCTCACCAATAATGTTGCGGGTACCCAACCTATATATGTACCCACGATCTTTCTAATCAAATAAACTCTTGTGTTCACCTCTCATCCCAACTATGGGATTCTCACATTTAACTCTCATCTTCCCTTCCCTTCCCTCTTCTTCACCACCCTTGTCTCCCCCTCCCCTTTTTCTCCCCCTTTCCCCCATTCACCCCGCCAATCCCATTGCCCCTTCACCCGCACCCCTCCGCCCCCAGGCGAACATACCGCAGCTGAGGGAGCCAATGAGGCGGGACTGTGCAGGGGGGCGCACGCGCGTGCTGGTGAACGGGCGCGAGCTGTGCCAGCGGGACCTGGCGCCACTCACACGGCGGGGCATGCCGGGGGCAGCGCAGCGGCAGTACACTCTGGACGCCTCGGGGCAGCTTCGTGATGCCGCCTCCTCCGCCCTCGTCTCCCACCTTGGCCACCTCGCCCCCTCGTATGCCTCTTCCTGCTGCCTCCTATGCCCCTGCTGGCTCTGTCCTATGCCCCTGCCTGCTCTGTTGTATGCCTCCCCCCTTGCTCCCTCGTGTGCCCCTCTCCCTCCTTGCTCCCTCGTGTGCCCCCCTCCCTCCTTGCTCCCTCGTTCGTATGGCCACCTCATATTATCACCTCGTATGGCCACCTCATATTATCACCTCGTATGAACATGTCGAGACCAACCAACTAGAACGAGAATGCTGAGGTGGGGAAGGTGCACATTATGGCGTACAGCAACAAGCCGACTAGCTCAGCACACGGGAGGGAGGAGGGTGCGATGAGCTGCTGATTAGAGGGGGAGGGAGGGCCAACAGCTAGGCTTTGGTAATTTCGAGCGGCTCCAAGCCGTGGTGGATATGAAATGAGTGGGAGAAGGTGATGATGCGGGCAGCATGGTCACCAGTAGGGACACCCATGTGGTTTTAGAGCTCACCTACGTCCTTGCAGCACTCATGCAGTGACTGTTTTGTCGGCGTCGAGGCAGAGTGTGATCAGAAACGACAATGATGATCGCACAACTGACAGATTCGTGAGCGCAAGGTGGGGGGCGAGGCGAAGTCTCGCCGGAGTGAAGTCATGGAGCGGGGTTGGCGGACAGGTTGGTTGAATATAAGCAAGAATGAAGAAACGACGAGCCGAGGAGCGAATGAGCATGTTGTTGTCAGAGTGAGAAGCAGTGAAGCTTCTCACATACTTCAAGCTTTATACCAGGTGGCGAAGCTGTCACGCCGTCTTGGAAGAGAAGGTTGCATGAGATGAAATGGTCGCTGTGTGAAGATTCGCTTGTGCCCTAGAGACGTTCAATGAGCGAATTTCAGTGTTGGCACATGCACCGAAATCAAGGAGGCGAGAAAAAACAACGGTGGGAGACGAGGAGGAAGAGGGAGCAGAGGAGAATGATACCTCGGGAGGAGCGATGAAGGGAGTGCGTTGGTACCAGCACGAGTGGTGTGATGCAACAAACGGATGCATGAGGAGAAATAGAAAAGCTGGATGGGAAAGAGGCGGTTGAGGGCTAAGAGGTGGTTGGGAGTGGCAACTACCATTGGTCCCAACATGTGGTCGGAAGAACCTATCACAATAGAGGGGCAAAGATGGTTTACTTGTCAATCACAACTAGTTTCATCATGCCAACATACATGTATAACCAAAAAAGGATACATGTTCAACTTAACACTACACGACGAATTATACAGTAACATTAGCCTAGCATGCTATAACGTATAAACTCGAGCCTCACCCCCTCATATATTTGCCCCTGCACCCTTGTATGCCCCCCTCTGCCCTTCCCCCTCCTCTGCCCTGCCTCTCTCCTGCGCCCCCCCACCTGCTGCTTTGCTGTCCCTCCTTCCCTGCTCTCCCTGACCCACTGCCTTCGTCTGACCTGGCTGCTGTTGTTGCCCTCTCTGCTGCCTGTGCCCATCTCTCCCTTGCCGGCCCGTCATTTGAACTTATCACAGTGATGCATCAGTCACCAGCATGCTGCATGCCCACATGCCCGCATGCTCACGTGCCCACGTCCGACATGCTCGCATGCCCACATGCCTGCTTGTCTACATGCCCTAGCTTACTTCATTGCCCGTGCCGCACACAACATGAGTCCGTGACCTGATTGGGCCCCTTGGATTAGATTGGCTCACATGACATCCTCTCACTTGCCACGTGTGCTGCTCGCCTGCCATTCCTCTTGTGTGCCTCTGTGTGTTGCCCAGATTGGAGTCCACAAGAGGCAACGGCATGTACACTCCCTCGCCACGCTGAATGCCCTCAGTGCCGTGTCCGCTTCCAGAATGGATCCATCCACGTGTCTCCGTTGTGCACGCATCCTCGCATCTGCTAATCTGCTTGATTCAATACTTGGAAGGTTGAGTAATTCATGTGGTAGAATTAAACATAAAAAAAGTTGTTTCTGTGGTCCTTCATTATTCAGTTCTATGTCCAAGCACTTTCCCTTCCTAATTTTGTTAGCAGTCCAACCTGCCAGATTATGTCAGTACACTTGTCAGCTTGAAGCTCGGATGTAACTGTGAGAACGTGACTCGCGGCACAGTTGTGATGGTCCAGTTGAGTTGCGAACAATTCGCGACACACTCGCCAATCCAAGGCGACGCACACGATCCGTGCGAGGCAGGCGACGTTCTTCTCACCATCCATCTGCCGAAATTTGTACTTGCTGGGGGGGAGTTTTTTCTGAGCACTGTTCCATCACCTTTTGCACTGTTCCAGCGCATTTTATGGCATGTCTTCTAGCCGTGTGTGACAGTGCAAGGTGCTTGGCGTTCTGAGTGTGAGGTAAAGGAATCAGAATCTCAAACGGCCAACTAGCAAGGCGAGAGTTTGAGCCTCGACACGTTTTCAGGGCGGCGTTCGCGATTCCATACGCTCCTCAAAGCTTCGACATGAGACTACTCCTCGCCATGTCCCCTTACCTTCCACGATCTCGTTGCTAAGGCACACATTTTTCGCCATAACAGCGACGATCTGGCCGTTCACTTGAAAACATCTCGGTTCCTTTTTAATATAGCAACGTTTCCTCCTCGCTCTCCCCACCGCCATGACCATTCCGAACCCTATTTTTCCGTCCGCGTCGCGAGCCGATGTGAGGAGTCGGTACCAGCTGGGGCGGGAGCTGGGCAAGGGCGGTGGCGGCGTGGTACGGATTTGCGGCGACGTGGCGACGGGCGAGGCGGTGGCGGCGTGCAAGAGCATTCCCAAATGCAAGCTGCAGGTGCGCGCGGAAGAGCGGGGGAGGGTGGGGTGGGGTGGGGGGAGAGGGAAGGGGAGAGTGCGGAGGGCAGAGTGGAGAGTGCGCGTGGCTGCGGAGACACACTCACGGCGGACGAGCGTGCAGACGTTGATGGTCGTTGAAGGGGCAACAACGGCGTGCTGCGAGCGAGAGGCGTGCGAAAGGGGGAAGGCGTGGCGTGGGGGAATTGCGCGTTGTGGGGAACGGCGTGGTGTGAGGGAATGGCGCGCTGAGGGGAACGGCGTGGTGTGAGGGAATGTCGCGCTGAGGGGAACGGCGTGGTGTGAGGGAATGTCGCGCTGAGGGGAACGGCGTGGTGTGAGGGAATGTCGCGCTGAGGGGAACGGCGTGGTGTGAGGGAATGTCGCGCTGAGGGGAACGGCGTGGTGTGAGGGAATGTCGCGCTGAGGGGAACGGCGTGGTGTGAGGGAATGTCGCGCTGAGGGGAACGGCGTGGTGTGAGGGAATGTCGCGCTGAGGGGAACGGCGTGGTGTGAGGGAATGTCGCGCTGAGGGGAACGGCGTGGTGTGAGGGAATGTCGCGCTGAGGGGAACGGCGTGGTGTGAGGGAATGTCGCGCTGAGGGGAACGGCGTGGTGTGAGGGAATGTCGCGCTGAGGGGAACGGCGTGGTGTGAGGGAATGTCGCGCTGAGGGGAACGGCGTGGTGTGAGGGAATGTCGCGCTGAGGGGAACGGCGTGGATGCAGGATAGACTTTGTCCAATGCGCCGCGCCTCTCGCCATCCGCGTCGCAACCGCCATTCCTCGCGTTCCCACTATTTTTTCCCCTAACCCACGCATCGTTCTTAAAATGGGCTCCTTCCCCATATCCCCCCCTACGCCCCGCTTCTCTTCTCCTCCCCGCGTTTACCCATGCGGCGCGCAACTCCCCCCCTTCCCGCGCCCGCCATGCTCTCTCACCGTCGTCCGCGCGCGCAGCGCAAGGAGGCGCGCGAGGAGCTGCAGGGGGAGGTGGCGGCGATGCGGCGCGTGGGGGGGCACGCGCACGTGGTGGCGCTGCGCGCGCTGTTCGAGGACGCGGAGAGCGTGCACCTGGTCATGGACCTCTGCGCGCACGGCGACCTCTACGACTACCTCATCGCGCGCACCACCCTGCCCGAGCCGCTCGCCGCTGACGTCACCAGGTGAGCTCAGCGCTGACGTCACCGGGTCATTCACAGAGTCTGCCCGCGTGCGGTTGTTCTGCTCCTTGCACTGCAAGCAGCGCACTGCAGGAGCCCGTGCCAGCGGCCGCATGGAGATAAGAGCTGCTGTGCTGAGCTGACTCCCTTGCCCCCACCTCCACAGCCCGCCATTCCTGCCAGACCCTGCTCGCCCTGCCCCCCTGCCTCGCATCCGGCGCGCTACACTGCGCCATGAAGCTGCTCCCACGCTCACCACCCTGCCCCCCGCCCCACCCTCTCGCCCTGCTCCCATCACTCTCTCCTTCGCCTGTTCCCCCCCCTCTTCCCTTCCCCCACCTCATTCCTCCCTTTCCCCCACCCCGCGCCCCATTGGCCCCCCTGCAGGCAGATCTTGCTGGCCCTGCACCACTGCCACGCGTCAGGCGTGGTGCATCGGGACACCAAACCTCTCCCGCGCTCCCCACCTCTTCCCGTTCCCCCCCCCATCCCCCCCTTCTCCGCCCCTCCGCCCCCCTACAGGCAGATCCTACTAGCCCTACACCACTGCCACGCGTCAGGAGTGGTGCACCGGGACATCAAGCCCGAGAACATTCTCCTCGCTGCCAAGGACGAGGCAGCGGGCAAGCTGCACCTCAAGCTCGCGGACTTCGGCCTGGCAGTGATGCTGCGAGCGGGGCAGCAAGCAGTGGGCATGTACGGCAGCGCTGTGTACATGTCTCCGGAGGTCGTGTGCCGCCGCCCCTATGGGCCCGCTGTCGACCTCTGGGGGCTGGGCGTCATCCTCTACACCGCCCTCTCAGGTGCCCCCCTCTCCACCTCTCCGCCCTCCTCCTGCACCAGACCCGACACCGACCTGCGTTCTTCTCAACTCTCTCTTTGCTGCTCTTCCGCTCCCATGTCTCCACTCCACACCAACGCCCGTTTCAAACTTTCCCCCCTCTCTCCCCCCCCACACCAACCCCCTCAACGCCCCCACCCCCGTGCCCGTCCCTCGCAGGCTACATGCCGTTTTGGGGCAGTACGGACGAGCAGCTGTTCTTCCGCATTCTGCGCAACCAGCCCGACTTCTCCATCGCGCCCTGGCCCTCCGTGGCGCCCGCTGCCATCGACCTCGTGCGCTGGCTGCTCTCCTCCGACCCCGCCCACCGCCCCTCCGCCGCTGTCGCGCTGCACCACCCCTGGCTCGCCCAACACTGCGGCCGGGAACCCGTTCCCTCGCCCCGCCCCGCCCCGTCCCCGTGTGTTCCGGTGGGGGCGCCAGGATGGACGGGCGAGAGCGGTGTGGAGGGCGGCAGGGAGGGGAAGAGAGAGGGGGAGCGCGTGAAAGCAGCAGCAGAGGCGGGTGGGGGTGCAGCTGTGCCGAGGGACTCGGAGGGGGTAGGCAGTGGGAGGGGCGGTGCGGCAGGTGCTGCAGCAGCAGCAGGAGGGAGCAGAGACACGGAGATGGGCGGTGTGGAGCCGCAGCGCACCTCGTGGGACGGCGCTGCAGGCAGTGAAGCAGCGGCAGTGCGAGGAGAGGAGAGGGGCAGGCAGGAGGGCAAGCAGGAACAGCAAGGAGAAGAGGGTGGGAGGCAAGAGCAAGGGGCCGGGGTGGCGGCGCATGGCAGCATGGATGTGGATTCACAACAGGGTGCGAGCGCGGTACAGCAGGGCGGGCGGCAGAAGCAGCCCAAGGCGCCGCCGATCCAGCTGCCTCTCTTCGCGTCCTTCACTGGCCCCGCCTCGCCCCTCTTCTCCTCGCCCACCTCCGCTGCCAATCGTGCTGGCAGCAGTGGCGGTGGCAGCGGTGTGTTCCTCTTCACTGCACGCCCCACCAGCGGCAGCAACAGCCACGCAGGCTCGGGTGGGAGCATGTGGGACAGGGAGGGCAGCAAGGCGAAGCACAAGGAGCAGCAGAGGCAGCAGGTGCAGCGCCACTCGCATGCTCACAAGCAGCAGCGAGCTTCTGCGGCAGCAGGCAGCAAGGATGCACACAAGGAAGGCACCGCGAAAGCACCCGTGGAAGCAGCAGAGCAGAAGGCGCGGCGGTCGTCGCACTTCCGGTTCTTCTCCCCCAAGCGCAAGGCCCGCCGCTCCCACGTCGTTGTCTCCACCACCCCGCTCCCTGCCCCTCCGCCGCCTCCCCTCTCCTCCCCGTCCCCATCCCATTCCCCTCTGGGCGTGTCTCAGCCCAACGCCCAGGTCACCCCCCCTGCTGCCCCCTCTTCCTCTGCGCCCATGGCCTCCATCACCGTCCCCCTCGTGCGCCGCAACCCCCCTTCCACTGCCGCTGCATCCCCCGCCGCTGCTACTGACGCTGCTGCTGCTGCCCCCACGGATACTGCTGCTGCTGTTTCCACTGCGCCTGTTGTGTCTGTCACCATCCCTGTCATCCCACCCAAACCCCCTCTCGACCCAACCCAAGAGCTCCCATCCGTACCTGAGATCCAGGCGCGCCTATCCGGGCCTGACGGGTCCATAGCAGTGTCATCGCTCTTCTCCTTCCTGCGACCGCTCAACCCCATGGCCGCCAGGAAGTCCTCCTCCTCCCTCTCCCGCGCTGCACACCGCCCCGACTCCGACTCTTCCATGTCCACAGCGCCGCCCAGCTTTCTCTACAGCCCGCGCGAGCCCCTCAAGTCGCCCCACCACCACCACTCCTTCTCTGCCGCCGCCAGCAGCAGCAGCGGCGGACTGCTCCCCTCCAGCAGCGCTCCCCGTGCGGCGGCGGCTGCTGCGTCGGAGCCGTCGTTTGGGTTGGGGCGCCTGGCGCGGCCTCTGCAGGGCATGGCGGCCCTCATGCGCCCCGCCTCCCCCTCCGCCTCCTCACCCGCACTCGCCCCATCGCCGTCAGACTCGCCGCAGCACAGCATGGGAACGGGGATGGGGCGATCAGGAGCAAGTGCGCACACACAAGCACACGATGAGGGCTCCACAAGCACAGCACCACGCACACACCTCACCACCTCCGCCAGTGCACCCAATGTAACCACCATGCCTGCTGGCACTGCTGCTGCTGCGGAGCCTGCAGTGCCGCAGGCGCCTCGCCGGGCCAGAGGGCTCAGCTCCATAGTGAAGGCCTTTGCCTCGCTCTCCACTGCTGCTCCCCTGGGGAATGTGGGGTCCGGCCAGCAGCACAGTGGGTGGGCCATGGGTGGTGGTGGTGGTGGAAGAGAGAGTGCGAGGGGGGGAGAGGATTCACACAAGGGGCAGCAAGAAAATGGGGATTCGACGAGTGTGAGTCACTCAGAAGCGGTTAGTGAAGGTGTGTCAAGAGATTCCTTTACATGGCAACGGCAGGGTAGCTGGATCTTTCGACGATAATGTGCTGTGCACGGCTCGGTTGGTTGCCCCCCCCCGTGCGATTTTGCATTGCGTTCACGGTAACACCAGTGTATGTTCTTTTTGTTTTCCTCACAATGCAATGCAATTTGAATCACCGCCGCGTCTGTGGCTGGCCATAATATACAGGTGAAGAGAAACACCCTAAGAGGGTACCACCGGTATTTTTCCTCAGTTCTGTATGAGTGCTGGGCTGCTGTGTCGAGGCTGCTTTGTGCTGTCAAGCTCTTGCGATGTCAGGTTAACCTGTTATCGTGCTTGAAAGAACGAATTTGCTGTTTCGGTGCAAAAGAGAGTATGAAAATGAACACGTAGTCGCCAAACCATGGCCGCCGTGCTTAGACTTCGCATGGCTCTGTCGCACGCCCAAGCTCTGCGAATCCTTCGCCACCGTGGGTCGTTTGCGATCCTATATTGCACCTTGTCTCCTCTCGCGCAACGTCGCACACTATCGCGTAGCGTCGCATGCTACTTTCGTTTAATATTCCTCTATGTACCTTACTTCTGAGAAATTTAAGACAAAATTAATCGTACTTCTCAGACCCCTCTAAAAAAAATGCGAACTTTGCACAATCCTTTGTCACGTCCCCAAACACCACAAAAGCCACATGTCGCGGACTCCTCGTGTCTCGCAGTTACCCGCTCCCGCGACACTCCTTTTTCAGCAGTTACCCATTCTCGCGAAAGCTCCCTTTCACACACCCCTCCACCACCGCAGCCCTCCCCTAGCCTGTGCTGTGTGTCCTGCGGCAGGGTTTGAGAGGCGAATGAGTGGAGCCTGTTTGCCCTGACATGTACATATATTGCCGTCCCCTGCCCCCGCCTCTCCCCCTCTCTTCCCCCCCTTTCCCACATTCCCCCCCCCTCACCCTCCCCTTTCCCCCCTTGATTTCCACCCGTTGTACATCCCCCTTAACTCTTCCCCCCTCGCCTGTCCCACTCACATTCCCCCCTCTCTCTTCCCCCTTCGCTCTTCCCTCCTCCCTCTCGCCCACCTCCCCCGCGCCACCCCTCTCCCCCAACCCCCCCCGCCCGCCCTCGCCACCACCCGTTGACCTAATTCCACCAGGCTCGGAGTACCGAAATCCAGTCATAACGAGCAGCAGCGTGTGGGTGCCGGATGAGGATGATGCGTGGACATACCAACACATGCCATGAACATCCCTCCTTTCTTAGAACCTGAAACACCCCTACCACAGACCAACCCCCCATATCCACATCTCCCACCCATCCCACCCCCTTCCCCCTTCCTCCCCACCCAAATGGCTCGAAGCAGCACAGCACGTTCACGGGGGTTGGGGCGGAACCAGTAGGTGCTGAACGTGCGAGCATGCTGGCATAGGGGCACCCATTCCACCCCATCCCACCTCCACCCCACTCCACCCCACCCCACCCCACCCCACCCCATGTGCAGGGCTTGGAGCAGCGCAGTGGGTTCACGGTGGGCAGCATTGTGTGGGTGCCGGACGAGGAGGATGCATGGGGATACCAACAGACGTGCCGTGCACTCCCCCCTCCCCCCCTCTTCCTTTGAACCTGAACCTGAACCCTACCCCACCCCACCCCACCCCACCCCACACCGCACCACCCCACCAGGGCTCGGAGCAGCGCAGTGTGTTCACGGTGGGCAGCACTGTGTGGGTGCCGGACGAGGAGGACGCATGGGCGGAGGGCGAGGTGGTGGGCGTCAAGGATGGCGCCGCGGGTGCAGGCGGGCAGGTGGTGGTGCGCACCACAGGGAAGAAGAAGCGCGAGGTGAGTGTGGTGTGGGTTGTGTGTGGTGATGGGTAGGAAGTGGTGCTAAGGGGTGGTGCTGCCTGGAGGGGCTCCGGGCGGGCAGGTGGTGGTGCGCACCACAGGGAAGAAGAAGCGCGAGGTGAGTGTGGTGTGGTGTGGGGACCTGTGAGTGTGGTGGTGATGGGTAGGAAGTGGTGCTAAGGGGTGGTGCTGACTGGGGGGGGTGCGGGCGGGCAGGTGGTGGTGCGTACCACAGGGAAGAAGAAGCGCGAGGTGAGTGTGGTGTGGTGTGGGGACCTGTGAGTGTGGTGGTGATGGGTAGGAAGTGGTGCTAAGGGGTGGTGCTGACTGGGGGGGTGCGGGCGGGCAGGTGGTGGTGCGTACCACAGGGAAGAAGAAGCGCGAGGTGAGTGTGGTGTGGTGTGGGGACCTGTGAGTGTGGTGGTGATGGGGGGAAAGTGGTGCTAAGGGGTGGTGCTGACTGGGGGGTGTGCAGGCGGGCAGGTGGTGGTGCGCACCACAGGGAAGAAGAAACGCGAGGTGAGAGATGGGTGGGTGGGTGTGTGTGGTGCTGTTGGTGATGCATGGTATGGTGGTGGTGATGCTGGGTGGAGGGAGGGAGGGGGTGTGGGCGGGCAGGTGGTGGTGCACACTGCAGGGAATAAGGAACGTGAGGTGAGTGCAGTGATGCGTGTGTGTGGTCAGCGAACTCACGGCGGCTTAAAGTTTTTTTTCTAAGATAAATAGGTATGGAAGGGCTTGGAGGTGGTGACTAAAGGCACGATAAGGCGGATTATGATAGCGACAACGATAGAGACGGGCGTTGGGATGGCTTTTGAGCCGACTTAAAAGTCACAATAATTAGAAGGTACGGAGAGGCGTGCGGGTGGTGACCAGAGCTTGATAGGGAGAATTGTAACAGCAGCTATGACAATGATAGAGACGGGCGTGGGGATGGTGATGGATGAACCGGTGATGGGTAGTGGTGGTGTTGGTGGACCGTGGTGAAATGAGGATGGCGGAATCATGGACGATATGGCAAGATGGCACAGCTGCACGACCCAGGGGTGCTTTTTGAGTCCACTCAAAGCCCTCCCTCCCTTCCCTCCCATGTTCCCAGGTGACGGTAGCAGCGGGTGCGTGCTATGCTATGCAAGGGAGGAGGATGGGGGCATTATGGCCAACAAGTGCCCATTCTCTGATGACCTCAAGTGCCCATTCTCTGATGACCTCAAGTGCCCATTCTCTGATGACCTCAAGTGCCCATTCTCTGATGACCTCAAGTGCCCATTCTCTGATGACCTCAAGTGCCCATTCTCTGATGACCTCAAGTGCCCACTGCTGTTCCGCTCTCATTGCCCATTCTCTCACACTCTCTTTCATGCTCAGGTGACGGTAGCAGCGGGTGCCTGTTACGCGAGGGAGGAGGATGGGGGAATCATGGACGACATGGTCAAGATGGCCTACCTGCACGAGCCGGGGGTGCCTTTGAGTCCACTCAAAGCCCTCCCCTCTCTCCCTGCCCCCCTCCCGCAGGTGACGGTAGCAGCGTGCGCGTGCTATGCACGCGAGGAGGATGGGGGCATTATGGACGACATGGTCAAGATGGCGTATCTGCACGAGCCGGGGGTGCTCTGTAACCTCATGCTGCGCTACCAGCGCAACCTTATTTATGTAAGCGCTGCCGCTTATGAGATGCAAACAGAAAGTAAAACAGCAGGGACACTGGGTAAAGGGATGCACCAGAGAGGTGGGCACATGAGTTGGAGTTCAGTTGTCATGAGTTGGAGTTCACTTGTCATGAGTTGGAGTTCACTTGTCATGAGTTGGAGTTCACTTGTCATAAGTCTTTTATGCAAATCCGTCGGCGAATCTCAATCTTCAAACCCAATCCCCCAAACTCAGAACCCAAAACCCAGAGTCTGAAACCCTGAACCAGAACCGTGATCCCCAAGCATGGAACTCAATATCCTCTTCTTCCCCACCCTCCCCTTCCCACCCGCCCTCCATTGCTCATATCAGACGTACACAGGCAGCATTCTGATCGCAGCGAACCCCCTTACGCGCATCCCAGGCATTTATGACCTGGAGGAGATGAGGGTGGCGTGGATGTAGTGCACAGTGCAGTGTGCCATGTCGTGCAGTGCATGATATGCGTCTGCCCGCCCCTTCCCTAACCTATCTCATTGCCTCCCTGGCTCCATGCCTCCCCTCCGACTTGCCCTCCAAACAGACCTACACAGGCAGCATTCTGATAGCAGCGAACCCCTTCATGCGCATACCAGGCATCTACGACCGGGAGATGAGGGAGGCGTACAGAGGGGCACAGATCGGTGACCTCAGCCCGCATGTGTTCGCCATTGCTGATAACGCGTACAGGTGAGCAGAGAGGGGGGGTTGTATTGGGCGTACAGGTGAGCAGAGAACGGGGGGGGGGGGGGGGGGGGGGGGGAGGTATTGGGCGTAGGTGAGCAGAAAGCGGGGGAGATATTGGGCGTACAGGTGAGCAGAGAGGAGGAGGGGTATTAGGCGTACAGGTGAGCAGAAGGGGAGGGTATAGGGCGTACAGGTAAGCAGGTGGGGGGCTGGATAGGTCCAGTCCAACAAGCCAAGACTTGACTGTTTGTGTTCACTCAATGACACGACACAAATACTTTCTGTCATCAAATGGACGGATTGCCCGTCTCCATGGTTGTGCTCAGTGCTCACTCACTGAAGGGACTGATGGTATAGGTTTGAGGCGCCTCAGAACTATTTTCTGTCATCAAATGGACGGATTGCCCCTCTCCATGGTTGTGCTCACTGAAGGGACTAATGCCTTCTCACTCCCTTCTGCACCCACCCCTGCCGAGCCGCAGCAGCCCACCCCTGTCGAGCCGCAGCAGCCCACCCCTGTCGATTCTGACACGCAGAGAGTAAATTCCCGTCAGACTGAGTCGTGTCGTGTTGTCCACTATGGGCCTGCACGATTGTTTCTCCCTCTCCTTGTCCCTCGGACACGACACCCTTGCAGGGCCATGGTGGACGATAAGCGCAGCCAGTCGATTCTGACAAGCAGAGAGTAAAGTCCTGCCATTGTCAGCACGGTGCCGCATACATTGTTTCTCCCACGACACCCTTGCAGGGCGATGGTGGACGATAAGCGCAGCCAGTCGATTCTGATCAGCGGGGAGAGCGGGGCGGGCAAGACGGAGACAACGAAGCTGGTAATGGAGTATCTGGCGTCCGTGGGGGGGCGGTCCGAGGCCACCGAGGGGCGCAGCATTGAAAGCCAAGTGCTGGAGGTGAGGAGGGGGGAGGGGAAAGATGAGAGGGGGAGAGGGGAGATTGAAGGGACAAGAGCCGTGGAATGGGGTTTCAGGGCGAGAAGGAGGTGATAAAACTGTTGGGTGGAGGGGGAATAAGAGGGGGTGCAAGGGGCAGGGGCAAGACGGAGACAACGAAGCTGGTGATGGAGTATCTGGCGTCCGTGGGGGGGCGGTCTGAGGCCACTGAGGGGCGCAGCATTGAACGCCAAGTGCTGGAGGTGAGAGGGGGGAGGGGAAAGATGAGAGGGGGAGAGGGGAGATTGAAGGGACAAGAGCCGTGGAATGGGGTTTCAGGGCAAGGGGGTGATGATCTGTTGGGTACAGGGGGAATAAGAAGGGGTGTAGGGGGGATAAGAGGGGGTGCAAGGGGCAGGGGCAAGACGGAGACAACGAAGCTGGTGATGGAGTACCTTGGTGTCCGTTTGGGGACGGTCTGAGGACACTGAGGGGCGCAGCATTGAACGCCAAGTGCTGGAGGTGAGGAGGAGGGAGGGGAAAATGGAGCGTTGGGGTAGGGGTGTATGTACCAAGGGGGTGATGATGGAATAAATTGGGAGGTACAACCGTGCTCTACCTCTTCCTCACCCTCCCTTGTGTACCACCCACCATTCGAACACCCTCGAACCTCTTTTCCCCTCCTCCCACCTTTGGCAACGCCAAGACGGTGCGCAACGACAACTCGAGTCGCTTTGGCAAGTTCATCGAGATCCAGTTCGACCAGCGCGGCCCTACCCTCCCGTCCTTCCCCCTTCTCTTGCCGACCGTCCTCTCCCCCCAACCCCTCCCTCCTCTTCTCTCCATCTCACACACTACCCTCCTCCGTCCGCTCGCTCCCCCCGTCCCCCATCCGATCCCCTTGTCTCCCTTCTCTCCCTCCAGTCAAACCCATTGCTGGAGGCCTTTGGCAACGCCAAGACGGTGCGAAACGACAACTCAAGTCGCTTCGGCAAGTTCATCGAGATCCAGTTCGACCAGCGCGGCCGCGTGTCCGGTGCCGCCATCCGCTCCTACCTTCTAGAGCGGTCCAGAGTGGTGCAGATAGCAGACCCTGAGCGCAACTATCACTGCTTCTACCAGCTCTGTGCGGGTGCATCCCCTGAGGTAATTTTTACTGGTCATTGTTCAGTTAAGGGCATTGCTGAGGGGATTGGAGCGGTCCAGAGCGGTGCAGATAGCAAATTTCGTGCGCAACTACCACTGCTCTGTGCTGGCGTATCCAATGAGGTACATGCGTGTGTACGTGTGTGTGTGTGTGTGTTGGGGGTGGGGGGGGGTCATTGCAAAGTGGCTGGGGAGTCTTTGTTGGGAATTTTTTCGCTCTTCACCCCTCCTCCCTCTCTCCTCTCCCCCCCTCCTCTCTCCCGTACCTCACCGCCCCGCTTTCACAGGAAGCAGAGAAATACCGGCTGCCTCCAGGGCCTAACAGAGCGGAGAAGTTTCACTACCTGAAGCAGAGCAAGTGCATTGAGCTGGAGGGGAAGCGCAGCAACGCGGAGGAGTATGTGATCACTCGCAACGCCATGGACGTTATTGGGATCTCACAGGACGAACAGGTGAGGGTGGAAGGTGGAATATGGGTGGAGGGCTGGGATGTGAGATATGAGACCACTTGGATCAGAATGGCGACGCGGAGGAGTATGTGATCACTCGCAACGCCATGGACGTTATTGGGATCTCACAGGACGAACAGGAGTGGAATATGGCAGGCAGCACATGGAGGGCCGCCCTTGAGTCGACTCAAAAGCAGGCAGCACATGGAGGGCCGCCCATGGAATCAGGGCGGGTTTCGAGGTCGGTTGGGGATGGATAGGAGGAGTGTGTGATTGTTTTGGATGCCGTGGACGTGATTGGGATCTCCCAGGACGAACAGGTGAGGGTGGGCGGTGGAATATGTGATTGTGTTGGATGCCGTGGACGTGACTGGGATGGGATATCGCAGGGCGAGCAGGCGAGGGGAAGATATTGGAGGCAACAGGACAGGGGGAACAGGGTGAACAGTTTTGCTGGTGCAATGCGATTTTCTTGCGTTTGGTCATACCATACCATGCGTCCTCAACCCACTCGGCACCCATCCGCACGTGCGTGTGCAAGCAGGCGTCGATATTCGGCATGTGGAGTGTAAGGCGAGACTTGTCAACGACTTCTTCTCATGCCACGCCCCACCCACTTCACCCCCCCACCCTCCCTCACACACGGCCCCCACCCCAATCCCCCCACGCCCACCCATCCCCGCTGTGCAGGCGTCGATATTCGGCATAGTGGCGGCCATTCTGCATCTGGGGAACGTGGAGTTCAAGGAGAAGGGCGACAAGATGCGAGCTGCCAAGGATTCCTCCTTTCCAGACATGCTACAACCCGGCCACCTCAACCCCCCACCCACCCCCCCATGCAGGCATCAATATTCGGCATCGTGGCGGCCATTCTGCATCTGGGAAACGTGGAGTTCAAGGAGAAGGGCGACAAGATGCGCATCGCCAAGAGCTCCGAGGAGAATCTTGAGAACGTCGCTCACCTGCTCTCGTAAGCACACTGGTCTCGAAGAACACACACTGTCTGCTGCTGATGCCAGCTCACTCCTTGTCAGTACCTGCCTGCCCTGTTGACTTCTGTTGACAATGCTACAAGTTAACACTGTTGACCGCTGCTGTGGGACTCGGAGGAGAACCTCGAGAACGTAGCTCACCTGCTCTCGTAAGCGCCCTGGTCTCCAAAAACGCCCTAGGACTTGCCGTGTCCGTTATTCTCCCCTGTTTCTGAGCTGTCAGCGCATCCCTGCTCGTTGCTAACTGTTGCTGTTGTTGCAGCCGTTTAAATGCCCACTGCCACTGCCAACTGCTGCAGCTGATGCTTCTCCTGGAGGCTGGAGCTTCTTCCTGTCACCTCCTTTTCCCCCGCTTGTCTCAGGAGTCGCTGTGCACGGTGAAGCGCAAGGTGGAATGGACGACGATATTGAAATCACGGTGTGCACGATATTGAATTCTCAAGAATGATTTCAATATAGCTGTGCACGGTGAAGCGCAAGGTGGACTGGACGGCGGTGAAATGGTTCGATAAGACCGTGCTCTTTCTCATGCCACACTCCCGCTTCTGTTCCCGATATCCCTCTCCCCATCCCGTCCTCTCCCCCAACTCCCCCCAGGTGCGACAAGAAGAAGCTCCAGGAGTCGCTATGCACGACGAGGCGGCGAGGCGATGCTTTGATTACACCGTGCTGTTTCGCATGCAACACAACGCCTCTTTTCCCCCACATCACATCCCCGTCCCAACTCCCCCTCAGGTGCGACAAGAAGAAGCTGCAGGAGTCACTGTGCACATTGAAGCGCAAGGTGGGAGGCGAGGTGATCAAGAGCTATCTGGACGAGAAGGGGGCTGTGGTGCGCCGAGACACGCTCGCCAAGACACTCTACTCCAAGCTCTTTGACTGGTGGGTGGGTGGTTGACCGGTGGGTGAATTGACTGCTGGCTGGGTGGGTGGTTGTGGTGGGAGGCGAGGTGATCAAGAGCTATCTGGACGAGAAAGGCGCCAATGAGCCCAGAGACACGCTAGCCAAGACACTCTACTCCAAGCTTCTTGACTGGTGGATGGTTGGATGGTGGGCGGTTGATCAATATTGCTGGGCCGTTTTACGTCTTGTCGACTTTCCTTGTGTCTTACCTCGCAACCCAAGCCAACCACCACTCTCACAACCTCCCCGCACTCCCGTCTCCTCAACCCCTTTTCCGCACTCACCCACTTTCCAATGGCAGGATAGTGGAGAAGGTGAATCGGTCCATTGGCCAGGATGCCAACTCCATGGCTCTCATTGGCGTGCTTGATATCTACGGCTTCGAGCACTTCAAGCTCAACAGGTGCAGTTGTGTGCGGTTGTGTGCAGTTGTGTGCTGATTTTCTAGACCTCTCAAAAACCCTCATTGGCGTGCTTGATATCTACGGCTTCGAGCACTTCAAGCTCAACAGGTGCAGTTGTGTGCAGTTGTGTGCGGTTGTGTGCGGTTGTGTGCTGGTTTTCTAGACCTCTCAAAAACCCTCATTGGCGTGCTTGATATCTACGGCTTCGAGCACTTCAAGCTCAACAGGTGCGCTGCGCTGCGCTTTTGAGCTGTTTTTTTTTTACCTCTCAAAACCCTCATTGGTGTGCTTGATATCTTCGATTTGGAGCATTTCAAGCTCAACAGGTGCTCGTTTGGGCTGCCTGGAAAGCAGCGAGAATGCACCACTGTTGCTGAGTGTTTGAAGTTGTCGCTGTAACAGTGGCAGACAGAAACATGTGCCACTCATACTAGTCTCTCCCCAACATATTACGTCCCAGAGAAAAAATCGGAGGGTTTTTGGAAGCACAGTAAGACTCCCAGCACCCTCGGTCTGCGTGCAAGCATGGTGCTCTCTTCACTGCTCCATCTAGCTTCCTCCTCTCTTCCTTCCCTTCCCTGTTCTCACCCTCTTCTCCAACGCTCCTCATTCCCTTCGCTTTCCCCACTCATCCATTGTACGTAAAGCCTGCTCTAGATATTTGTCCTCTTTTAGTACATCTGCTCCAATACTCTACCCTCCCCCTTCCCCCCTCCAACCTCTCGCAACTTCCCACCTCTCTTTCCTCTCCCCTCCCAGCTTCGAACAGTTCTGTATCAACCTGGCAAATGAGAAGCTTCAGCAGCATTTCAACCAGGTACCGTTGTTGTGGCTTGCCGAAAAGTAACGAGAAGCTTCAGTAGCACTTCATTCAGTGTCATACTCTCTGCTGCTTTTCTTCCCTTTTCCTCACGCCGGTCCACACTCACACTCACATCAGCACGGTTCTATGCTCAAACAGGAGGAGTGTGAGCGAGGGCAGGTGCAACAACTGGAGGTGATGCTTTCCCTCATTCTGCCACGCGTTCCCCCCCACTGTCTCTACTACTTTTCTCCCCTCACTCACCCTCCAAACACCAGCACGTGTTGAAGCTAGAGCAGGAGGAGTATGAGCGGGAGGAGATCAACTGGAGCTACATCAACTTCCGGGACAACCAGGACGTGCTAGACCTCGTTGAAGGGGTGAGTGGGGTAGCTCTTGGGTGGGGCTGGTGAGTCTTGAGGCGCCAAAACAATCGTTGCAGCATACGTGGAGATCAACCATCAACTGGAGCTACATCAACTTCCGGGACAACCAGGACGTGCTAGACCTCGTTGAAGGGGTGAGCTGATGGGCGGGGTTGGTTGAGAGGAATGAGGTGATGGGTGGGATGAGACAGGTGAGCCGATGGGGGCTAGTGGAAGGCCCTAGTGAGCTGTTAGAAGAGATGAACTGGAGCTACATCAGCTTGCTCCCGCAGGGTTGTGCGCGGTTCCTTCTGCAGCAGCTCGTATCTGTTCTCTTTCGTTGTGACCCGCCTCAAGAATGTCCTCCCATATTCCCTTGTGCTGCTTCTTTTTGTTGCTGCAGGATAAGGGCATTCTCACACTGCTCGACTCAGCCTGGTACGGTCCATTCTCCCTGCCCCCCTCACCGCTTCCATATACCCGTTTTCTTCACGTGTTCTGTGTTTCTTGTTTTTTGCCGGTCGACTCTAAGTTCGCCTCAGAAGCAGATCCTGCCTGCATTTCTCTGTCCGTCTCTCATGCATCTATGCTCACACACCAGCAAACCAGCGCAAGAGCTCTCTCAAGCACTGCACAAAGGAGCTTTCTTTTCTCTCTCCCTCCCATCCTCTTCCCTTCCTCTCCCTCTGTCTCTCCACCATTCTTCGTCTCCCCTGCTATGTCCCGCTCTTTCCCCCCCTTCCCTCACATATCCCCCACCCCACCCACTCCCCCCCACACAGCAAGCTAGCCCAGTCCACGCCAGAGTCCTTCACCATGTCGCTGTACGACGCCTTTTTGAAGCACGAGCGATTCACCAAGTCCAAGGGCTCCGTCACTGACTTCACGCTGGAGCACTACGCGGGGCGAGTTAAGTACAGCACCACGGAGTTCATCAGCAAGAACCTCGACGCCGTGGTATCAGAGCACGAGGCGCTGCTGCAGAAGTCCACCGACCCGTTTGTGGCTGCGCTGTTCCCTGCGGCTCAAGAGGAGGTGAAGGAGGGCGGGGGGAAGGGCGGCAAGGCCACCACCAAGTTCGCGTCGTTGGGGAAATCGTTCAAGGTGAGTCATGCATGCAGCACCCCAAACCAGAAACCTTGAACCTGTAACCCTGAACTAAGGGTATGTGTGACTGTTGAAGGCGAAAAGCAACATGTGGCCATTGATTAAGATGATAGTGTCAGGTCTTGGACGAAGGGGCCTCGGACAAGGAAAAAAAACCTCTTCTTCCTGTGCCTTGTTTGTTTGCTTTTTTCCCTTTATTACACCCTTTGTTTTTTGTTTTTTGTTTTTTGTTACATCCTTTGTTTTGTCACTGTACAGCTGCAACTGTCGCAGCTGATGGACACGCTGAACCGCACAGAACCGCACTACATCCGGTGTATCAAGCCCAACTCCAAGAGCCGGCCGGCACTGTTTGAGAAAAGCATGGTGGTGGAGCAGCTGCGATCGGGGGTGAGTGCGACGGGGGGAGTGAGGGATGAGGGGGGAGGAGTGAGAAGGAGTGAGAAGGAGTTCGAAAGATGGGGGACAAGGGTCGGGTTGGGCTGTTTGAGAAGAGCATGGTGGTGGAGCAGCTGCGATCGGGGGTGAGTGCGAGAGACGAGGGGATGGGGGGGAAGGACTGAGAAGGAGTGCAAGTATGGGGTAGAAGGGTTGGCTAGTGCTGTTTGAGAAGTTCATGGTGGTGGAGCAGCTGCGATCGGGGGTGAGTGCGAGAGATGAGGGGATGGGGGGGAAGGACTGAGAAGGAGTGCAAGTATGGGGTAGAAGGGTTGGCTAGTGCTGTTTGAGAAGTTCATGGTGGTGGAGCAGCTGCGATCGGGGGTGAGTGCGAGAGAGGAGGGGATGGGGGGGAAGGACTGAGAAGGAGTGCAAGTATGGGGTAGAAGGGTTGGCTAGTGCTGTTTGAGAAGTTCATGGTGGTGGAGCAGCTGCGATCGGGGGTGAGTGCGAGAGACGAGAGGATGGGGGGGAAGGACTGAGAAGGAGTGCAAGTATGGGGTAGAAGGGTTGGCTAGTGCTGTTTGAGAAGTTCATGGTGGTGGAGCAGCTGCGATCGGGGGTGAGTGCGAGAGACGAGGGGATGGGGGGGTAGGACTGAGAAGGAGTGCAAGTATGGGGTAGAAGGGTTGGCTAGTGCTGTTTGAGAAGTTCATGGTGGTGGAGCAGCTGCGATCGGGGGTGAGTGCGAGAGATGAGGGGATGGGGGGGAAGGACTGAGAAGGAGTGCAAGTATGGGGTAGAAGGGTTGGCTAGTGCTGTTTGAGAAGTTCATGGTGGTGGAGCAGCTGCGATCGCGGGTGAGTGCGAGAGACGAGAGGATGGGGGGGAAGGACTGAGAAGGAGTGCAAGTATGGGGTAGAAGGGTTGGCTAGTGCTGTTTGAGAAGTTCATGGTGGTGGAGCAGCTGCGATCGGGGGTGAGTGCGAGAGACGAGAGGATGGGGGGGAAGGACTGAGAAGGAGTGCAAGTATGGGGTAGAAGGGTTGGCTAGTGCTGTTTGAGAAGTTCATGGTGGTGGAGCAGCTGCGATCGGGGGTGAGTGCGAGAGACGAGGGGATGGGGGGGAAGGACTGAGAAGGAGTGCAAGTATGGGGTAGAAGGGTTGGCTAGTGCTGTTTGAGAAGTTCATGGTGGTGGAGCAGCTGCGATCGGGGGTGAGTGCGAGAGATGAGGGGATGGGGGGGAAGGACTGAGAAGGAGTGCAAGTATGGGGTAGAAGGGTTGGCTAGTGCTGTTTGAGAAGTTCATGGTGGTGGAGCAGCTGCGATCGCGGGTGAGTGCGAGAGACGAGAGGATGGGGGGGAAGGACTGAGAAGGAGTGCAAGTATGGGGTAGAAGGGTTGGCTAGTGCTGTTTGAGAAGTTCATGGTGGTGGAGCAGCTGCGATCGGGGGTGAGTGCGAGAGACGAGAGGATGGGGGGGAAGGACTGAGAAGGAGTGCAAGTATGGGGTAGAAGGGTTGGCTAGTGCTGTTTGAGAAGTTCATGGTGGTGGAGCAGCTGCGATCGGGGGTGAGTGCGAGAGACGAGGGGATGGGGGGGAAGGACTGAGAAGGAGTGCAAGTATGGGGTAGAAGGGTTGGCTAGTGCTGTTTGAGAAGTTCATGGTGGTGGAGCAGCTGCGATCGGGGGTGAGTGCGAGAGACGAGGGGATGGGGGGGAAGGACTGAGAAGGAGTGCAAGTATGGGGTAGAAGGGTTGGCTAGTGCTGTTTGAGAAGTTCATGGTGGTGGTGGTGCGATCAGGGGATGAGAAAAGGGACGGGGACGAGTGAGGGGAAAGGGCTCTATGCTGCGGCATGCTGTGCAGTGTGCAGCTGCAGTGGTGTGGATCAGAAGTGTTTTGAGAACATGCATGTTTTCAGACGAGACGTCTCAAAACATGCTGTTGCATCACACACATGCCACATGAAAGAAGTGATTTTTAAGACGTAAAAAAAAATCGATTTCTTTCAAAGTGCTCTGTGCTGCGGCATGCGGCGCAGTGTGCAGCTGCAGTGGTGTGGTACAGGATGGATGCATCACATCACACACATGCTTCCCCATCCCGCCGCTTGTCACATGCTTGCTGACATCACATCACATGCTTGCTGACAACACATGCTTGCTAACGACACATGCTTGCTGACAACACATGCTTGCTGACAACACATGCTTGCTGACATGACATCACATGCTTGCTGACAACACATGCTTGCTGACATCACATGCTTGCTGCCTGTCCCCCACCCTGGTCGCTAAGCGCATGTGCATGGCTACTGGCCACCCCTCTTACGGCATGCTCATGTTTCTCCATGGTTTGAGGCGCCTACAAAACTCCTCCCATTCTCACCCATAAAGCAATGCCCAATTACCGCGTGGTGTGGTGTGATGCGGCGTGTTTTGGTGTGGTATGGTGCACTGCGCTGCGGTGTGGTGTGCTGTGGTGTGGTGCGGTGTGGTGCGCCGTGCAGGGAGTGTTGGAGGCCATTCGCATGTGCTCGGCGGGCTACCCCACTCGCCGCCTCTTTGACGACTTCATCGACAGATTCTCGCTGCTCGTGCCCTCGCTCTTTGACAAGGAGTGAGTCCCGTATTCTCTGTGCCTGCTCCCATACTCCATCGACCCGTCAACTCTCCTTCTCTCCTCGTTTTCACTTTCTTCCCATTCCATTCTACCTGGCCTCGTCCTCTCCTCTCCCCTCTTTTCTCCCTCTCCATTTCTCTCCCTGTGTTCTTCTCTTTTCAAGACGCCCTCCCTTGTTCACTTCGGTCTGGACCCTTTTCTCTCACTCAGGCCCCCTCACACTCTTTGGACTCTCACCTTCACTGGAGCCCCCTCACTCAATTTGATCTCCCTCTCTTGCATGACCCCCTCACCTCACTCACTTTCACCTTTTCAGTCCCCCTCGTGCCCTTGTTCTCACACGGCCTCCGTACACTGTCCATCCCTGCAATGCAAACCCCCTGCACCCACTGCACTGCACGCACATCCCAACCCTCAGAATGTCGGAATCTGTGTACAGCCATTCTGCACCATGCCACGCTGGAGTCTACTCTCTCTTGTTCTGACCTGATTCTCATGCCGTCGTGTGCTGCTGTGTGCTCATACCAACCGTCAGATTGTCGGACCCCGAGTACGTGGAGGTCATTCTGCGCCATGCCAGCCAAGCTGCAGCCTGTTCCGTTGACTTTTGAGTGGACTTTTGAGTCGACTCAAAAGTCATTCTGCGCCATGGCAGCCAAGCCGGAGCCCGTTCCGCTGCCCGTTACCCTCCTGCGTGCCCACCTGCGCTGCGTGCTCACATGCACTCACTCCCGTGCACTCACTCCCGTGCACTCACTCCCGTGCACTCACTCCCGTGCACTCACTCCCGTGCACTCACTCCCGTGCACTCACTCCCGTGCACTCACTCCCGTGCACTCACTCCCGTGCACTCACTCCCGTGCACTCACTCCCATCCCATTCTCACCCCCCTGTGTTGCTGCGGATGCACAACAGAATGTCTGACTGGAGTACGGGTGGAGATTAATTCTTCTGCGCCATGCCAAGCTGGAGCCTGTTGTGGTGCTCACCTTCGTGCTGCCATCCAAAGGCTCAATCCTAACCCGTTCTCGCCCCCCTGTGCCGCCTTACGTGCAGAATGTCGGACCCTGAGTACGTGGAGGTCATTCTGCGCCATGCCAAGCTGGAGAATTACCAGGTGAGCTCGTGGCGGTTCCTGTGTGAGTGTATGCGGGTCGGTGGGTGGATGGATGTGTGTGTGCGTGTCAGCGAGGGGGTAGGTGTATGCTGATGTGTATGTGGGTGGGTTGGTTTGTTTGTGTGTGTGTGTGTTTGTGTGTGTGTGTGTGTGTGTGTGTGTGTGTGTGTGCGTGCGTGCGTGCGTGCGTGCATGCGTGCGTGCGTGCATGCGTGCGTGCGTCCACAAACGCTCCAGCTGCTGCTGCTGCTGCTTCGCACACTCATGCCAGTGCATGCATTTCCACTCCACTCCCTGCTCTCTCCCCATCCAGATTGGCAAGTCGAAAATATTTCTGCGAGCGCGCCAGATGGTGCTGATGGAGACGTGCCGTCTCGAGATCATGAACGCTGCACACCCTCATGCAATGGCATTCGCTCCTCCCGTGCATCCCCCCCAATCCATTCTCTGCACCCTCTCCCCCTCCCACAGATCGGAAAGTCAAAGATATTCCTGCGAGCGGGGCAGATGGCCCTAATGGAGACGTGCCGACTGGAGATCATGAACGCTGCTGCAGCTGCACACACCCACGCAAATAGCATTCACTCCTCCCGTCCCCCCCATCCATTCTTTACGCCCTCTCCTCTCCCCCCCCCCAGATCGGAAAGTCAAAGATATTCCTGCGAGCGGGGCAGATGGCCCTAATGGAGACGTGCCGGCTGGAGATCATGAACGCTGCTGCCGCCCGCATTCAGCGTGCCACGCGCCGCTTCCTCTTCCGCCTGCACCGCGCCCGCGCTGCCCTCTGCATCCAGAAGCTCTGGCGCGGTGAGTGGGATTAGATTTGAGGCGCCTTAAAAGACGCGGTGAGCTGCCTCCAGCGTTGCGTTGCGTTTTGCATCTCTCTACTGTCGCTCTCAGTCTGTTCACTTCACATTGCCCCTCGGCATCTACCCCTTCTTTGCCTTCCCCCCCGCTTCCCCTCCAGCCTACAAGGCACGGGAGTTCGTGTACCACCTGCGGCAGCGCCTGGCAGCAACGTGCATTCAGCGCATGGAGCGGGGCAGGCAACAGCGCATGCGCTTCCTCACACCATCCCTCCTATCCCCTCCTTTCCTTCACCCCCCCTTCCAGCCTACAAGGCACGGGAGTTCGTGTACCACCTGCGTCAGCGCCTGGCTGCAACGTGCATTCAGCGTATGGAGCGGGGCCGGCAGCAGCGCATGCGCTTCCTCGTGCTGCGGCGGGCAGCAATCACCATCCAAGCCAAGTACCGCATGCACCTCTATCGCATGCGCTACCTGCACATGCGTGACAACCTCGCTGCCACCTGCATTCAGGTGTGTGGCAGTGGTTTGCTTGTGGTCAGGTTCCTGGTTTCCCAGTGTGTGGTGGTAGCTGTGTGTGCCGAGCCAAGCAGCAATCACAGCAGCAGTGACCATCCAAGCCAAGTGCCGCATGCACCTCTATCGCACGCGCTACCTGCACATGCGCGACAACCTCGCTGCCACCTGCATTCAGGTGTGTGGCAGTGGTTTGCTTGTGGTCAGGTTCCTGGTTTCCCAGTGTGTGGTGGTAGCTGTGTGTGCCGAGCCAAGCAGCAATCACAGCAGCAGTGACCATCCAAGCCAAGTGCCGCATGCACCTCTATCGCACGCGCTACCTGCACATGCGCGACAACCTCTCTGCCACCTGCATTCAGGTACGCTTCTATGTTTTTGTCACTGTTGTTCCTATGCTTAAGCGTTTTTCAACTACTGCAGCCCTTCAAACAATGAGTCAAGGTGACCTCGCTGCCACCTGCATTCAGGTATGCTTCAATTCTTTGCTCGTTGGTTGAGGTTTCTGGGTTGCCAGCCTGTGCCGGTAGTAGGTAGCTGTGCTGCGCCGGGCAGCAATCACCATCCAAGCCAAGAATCACATGCACCTCCACCACATGCACCTCCACCGCATGCACCTCCACCACATGCACCTCCACCGCATGCACCTCCACCACATGCACCTCCACCGCATGCACCTCCACCGCAAGCCCTACCTACCTGCACATGCGCAACAACCTCGCTGCCACCCACATTCAGGTGTGTGCCAGTTGTTTTTTTGTGAGGACAGGATCATCCCCCACCTGTCTTCTCCTTGCAAGCCCTGGAAGGCAGTTTCATGTTCTCTTCCCCCCCATCCACGGGCACCCCATCCACGGGCACCCCATCCGCCTGCATTGAGGTGGTTTTTGAGGCGCCTCAAAAACCACCTGAAGGCAGTTCGATGTTCTCTCCCCCCCCCATCCACGGGCACCCCATCCGCCCCATGCATAATGCTCTCTTTCATCCACACCACCTCCCCATGGCCCCACGCCTATCTTTGAGGCGCCTCAAAAATAGGCCCCATGCATGCTCCCTTTCATCCATACCACCTCACCTCGCCATTGCCCCACGCCTCCCCTCCTACCGTATCCCCCAGACTTCTCCCACTCCCGCTCTGCCCCCCTCTACCCGCCGCTCTCCAGAGCCACTGGAGCAGTTACGCGACTTGCAAGCCCTCCCATTCTTTTATCCATTTGCATCCTCCTCCCCGGCCGCACCCTCTCCCCATCTCCTCCCCACCCCTCTTTCCTGTCTCTCTCTCTCCCCAGTGTCACTGGCGGGGCTATGCAGCTCGCAAGCCCTGGAAGGCCCTGCGCCAGTACTTCTTTGCACGGCTGGCGAGGCTGCGATATAAGAACCTCAAGCTGGTGCGTGCCTGTGCCTGGTCAATCTGATATTCTTTTTTAATTGATTAAAATGTGTATCCGTCCCCCCTGTCGACTGTCTTCCCAATCGCCCTCTATCTCTCTAATTTCCGCACTCCCCAACCAATTCATCCCAAACTCCTCCCCTCCCGGTTTGGCCCGTGAACCCCCACCATCGTTCCAGACCACATCATACGTAGCAATGACTTGAACCACGCTGACTCTTCTCCTTTCAGGTTTTGCCAGATTATTTCCTTCCAGCTCCCAACCTTGTGGTTACGCTTGCTTGCTCCTCTGCTTTCATCCCCTTCCTTCCATTCCACCAATCGCAGGAGGCGGCTCGCATTGCTGAGCTGGCGCCGCCACGCAAGAAGACGGAGGTGGCGATGGATACAATCCGCATGATGGTGCTGCGCGTGCAGAGGGTGAGTGTGACTGTATGGGGAATTAGTTGGAGGGCAGAGTGTGACTGTATGGGGAATTGGCTGGAGGGCAGAGTGTGACTGTATGGGGAGGACAAGTGTGACAGTATAGAGGGTAGCGCACTGACTTACAAGAAGACGTGAGGTGGCGATGGATACGATCCGCATGATGGTGCTGCGGGTGCAATGGGTGAGTGTGACTGAAGGGGGGGTGGGGGGCGGGGAGTGTGACTGTACAGGGGTGTTGGGGGGGCGTGGAGAGAGTGGGGACTGTGATTGTATAAGGCTAGGGCCTCACCATACAAGAAGACGGAGGTGGCGTTGAATACGGTTCGTATGATGGTGCTGAGGGTGCCAAGAGTGAGTGTGACTGTATGGGGAGTTGGTTGTAGGGCAGAGTGTGACAGTATAGAGGGTGGCGCACTGACCTACAAGAAGACGAAGATGGCGATAGATAACAATCTGTGGGGACGGCAGGCTTTGGAACGCCGGCTGCAGAAGCAAGAGAGACGAGTTTTGAGACGCCACAAAGCAAGAGTCTAGAGAGACGAGTCACAACCTGATGGGAGGGGGGAGCAGGAGGAGCTGGAAGCAGATCAGATGAGTTTGATGGCGTCTGACACCAATGCAATCCTATGGCCCTCCATGCGTATCACTTAACCCCCTCCGTGTCACCCATTCCCCCACTCTCCCCACTTCCCTACCCCAGGACAAGGCGGAGAAGGGGCGGCAGGCGTTGGAACGCCAGCTGGCGGAGGCGAGAGAGGAGGTGGAGCGGCGGGGTAGGGAGATTGCGGCTCGAGGCAGGGAGATAGCCCGGCTGCAGGAGATGCTGGATGCGGAACAGGCCAGGGCAGAGGCTGCAGAGGCGGAGGTGAGGGAAATGGTGGCGGAGCGGGAGGAGCAGCGGGAGGAGCAGCAGCAGCACTTGGTGAAGATGAAAGAGCTCTCTGTGTTGCCTGATGCGCTGAGTCATACGCCCACTGCTGCTTCTGCTGCTGCTGCTGCTGTTGGTGGTGGCGTTGGTGATGGTGCTGCTGCTAGGGATGAGGCTCGGGTGTTGGCAAATGCGGCAGCTGCAGCAGTGGCGGCTGTTGACGGGGCGGTGGGAGCGACTGAAGCAGCAGGAGCTGCTGCAGGTTTTAGAGACGAGGCAGGAGGGGCTGAAGCTACTGCAGCAGCAGCAGACGAAGCAGTGCCAACTGCAACGTCAACAGCACCAGCTCCAGCAGCAGCACCGGTGGCAGGACGAGTGGCAGAGGCTGCAGTGATGCACACGGGTCCTGTGCTGTGTGCTCGGTGCGGAGGGAGAGTGGAGGCATCAGGAGGCATTCCCGTGTCTCCTTCGTCCCTCCGCTCCCTTGCCTCTCCCTCCTCCCGACGACCTCCCGTATCGCCCAGGAGAACCCCTTCTGCTGCCGCCGCCGCCGCTGCTGCTGCTGCTGCTGCTGCCAGTGCCGCTGCTGCCAGTGCTGCTTCTATTGATCCTCGTGCTGACCATGCAAGACGGCCTGTGCAAGGCGAGGGAGAGGGAGAGGAGGGAGAGGAGGAGGGAGTGGAGGAGGTGAAAGAGGTGGCGATGGAGGGGGATAGGGAGAAGGAGTGTGTTGTCGTGGGGGTGGAGGGCGGCGCAGACAGGACGGCGCTTGCCAACCATTTCTTGCCGCCAATTCTGGAAAGATCTGCACAAAGCGAGGCGGATCTAGTGGAGGTAGAAGAGAGGGCCGTGAACAGAGGAAAGGACGGCGATGGGAACGAGGAGCAAGGGGAGCAAGGGGAACGCAAGGAGCAGCAGGCTCAGGAGAAGGGGCAGGAGCAGGTGCAGGGAGGAAAGGGCGAGGGGCAAGGGGGAGCGGCAGCAGCAGCGGGAGGCGAGGAGCACAAGGGAGGGAAACCTCGACCTGTGTCGCCGCTATCAGCCGGCGCCAGTGCCATCCGTGATCGGCTCACTCTGGACGTTGGTGCTGGCACCACCACCAGTGGCGCCGCTGCTGCTGCCACTGCAGGGGCAGCAGCAGGGGCAGCACCTGGGGCAGCAGCAGGAGCTGGAGCAGGAGCAGCAGCAAGTGTAGGCCCAGGCGGAGGCGCCCCTCTGCCTCCCAGCGACGGCAGCAGGCGCCCCATGCGCCCCCGTGCTGCCTCCTCTTCAGGATCCAACTGGCAGGTCGCCTCAGAGGACGGGGACTTAGACCATGAGGGCGCAGCAGCAGCCGAGCAGGACCGAGAGCCCCTGAGTGCTGACAGGGGTCCGCTTAGTTCAGAACGGCCCAGGAGAATGTCGGCTGGCGCGGGAGGGGGTGGAGCGGGAGGGAAGGAGTTTGGCCGGTATGGGAGCAGCTCGTTCCGGGGCTCGCCGGCTCGGGAGTTTGAAGGGGGAGCGCGGGTGGGGCGTGGGGAGGAGGGGTCGTGGAGTGGGAGGAAGCTGGGTGGAGTGGGGTCGAGATCGGCTAGGAGTGGGGCGAGTGAGGCGTCGCCGAGGGGAGGGGTGGGGATGGGGATGGGGACGCCGCCCACGCCTGGGGGGAGTGGGGCGGGGACGCCGCGGGGGAAGAGCCTGACGTTTTCGGCGAGCAACTTTGATAAGATTCTGGCGAGCATGCAGCGGGAAGTGGAGATTGCACAGAAGGTGAGGGTGGGATGGTAGGATGGGTGAATAGGATAACAACTGGCTGCGGGCAGCATACAAGGGGGCAGTGCACAAGGCAGAGGTGGCAGCACTGGCAGCACTGGCAGCACTGGCAGCACTGGCAGCACTGGCAGCACTGGCAGCACTGGCAGCACTGGCAGCACTGGCAGCACTGGCAGCACTGGCAGCACTGGCAGCAGTGGCAGCACTGGCAGCACTGGCAGCACTGGCAGCACTGGCAGCACTGGCAGCACTGGCAGCACTGGCAGCAGTGGTAGCACTGGCAGCACTGGCAGCACTGGCAGCACTGGCAGCACTGGCAGCACTGGCAGCACTGGCAGCACTGGCAGCACTGGCAGCACTGGCAGGAGCTAGGTGCCTCTCTTTGTTCATTGTTCTTACCCTTGCGCTCCAGATGCGAGAGGAGAACAACTGGCTGTGGGCAGCATACAAGGAGGCGGTGCACAAGGCAGAGGTGGCGGCAGCACTGGCGGCACATGCGGGCCCCTGTCATCCCTGTGTCCTTTACTCTGTTCCTCCCCTCCCCCATCAGATGCGGGAGGAGAACAACTGGCTGCGAGCAGCCTACAAAGAGGCGGTGCACAAAGCAGAGGTGGCGGCAGCACTGGCAGGGGCAGAGAGATCACCCCTACATCCCTCACTCCACTCTGTTTCCCCCTCCACACCAGATGCGTGAGGAGAACAACTGGCTGCGGGCGGCGTACAAGGAGGCGGTACACAAGGCAGAGGTGGCAGCGGCACTGGCGGGGGCGGAGAGGGCGAGAGCAGAGGAGGCGGAGAGGAACGTGGCAGCGCGGGAGGAGGAGATGCGGGAGGCACTGGCACGATGCCATGAGCTGCAGGAGAAGCTGCTCGGGTGAGTGCGGGCGGGTGGTGGGGTGATTGGGGACGGTGGGGTGGGGTATATGGGTTGGTTGTCGAGTGCTGGTGTGGTGGTTGGGTAGATCAAAAGTGGGAAGGTGGAGATACACGAGGCATTAGCACGAGGAAATCCCTTTTGAGAAATTTCAAAAGGTTGGGTGCATCCTCTTGCGTGAGGGTGGTTGGTTGAGTGAGGATGGTTGGTTGAGTGAGAATGGGTGGTTGAGTGAGGATGGGTGGTTGGGTGTGTGAGGCTGCTTTGGATGTGTATTTTCTAGCTGCAAGTTCCTTAAACATCCATGTGCTTTCCTGAATGCTTCCGCTCACCACGCTGTTTTCCTTACTCCTTCCCTGATGCGCACGCACACACAAACACGCACCTCCTTACTCCCCCTCGTATCCTCCCCACTCTCTTTTTTCACCGCAGGAAATCGCGCGAGGTGCGCACGTTGAGTCAGAGGCTGATTGCCTTCCAGGCCAGCATGGCCAACGCCAATCCGGCCATGCCCATCGACAAGCAGCAGGTGAGCTCTCACGCAGCGCACTCTGCAGATTTTCCTGTCGCCTAATATATCAGCGAGGAACAAGCTCCGTTTGAGGTGCAGATTCTCCCTTTCTTCCCTTCTCCCTCCCTCATCTTCCACCCCCTCCCCTGCACTTTTCTCCTCGTCCTCACCCTCCTCTCCTATTCTTATCCTTCTTGTTCGTCTCTCTTCCTCCACTTTCATATCCCTCCCCCTTCCTTTGTATCTCTCTCCCCTCTCACTCTTCTTCGCTCCTCCTGCCATCCATCCCTGCATCTGCCCTCTCGCATCTCAGAGTGACCTGTCCCGCCACTCTGTCCCGCCAATCAGAGTGGGCCTGTCTCTTGCATCAAGCTTGAACGAGTTGGCACTCCCTCCCACCCACTCTTTATCTCCGCCTCATAGGCTCAACCTGTGGCGGCCTGGCAGAAAATACCAACTCGTTCCCCCCTCTCTCTCGCCTTTCCTTTTCATCTTCTTGTCCCCCACCCTCCCACACCCCCCCTCATCAGGAGGTGCTTCTGAACGAGATAGCTGTCAGCCGCTTCCCCTTCGGTCCGCAAGGCCAGCCAGTGGCAGCGTGTGTGGTGTACCGGTCGCTGCTGCACTGGCGAGTGTTCCAGGCCGAGAAAACCAACGCGTTTGACCGAATCATTGAGACCTTCCAGATGGTGTCTCGCTCCGATGACATGAGCACCTTGAGCTACTGGCTCAGCAACCATGTGGTGCTGCTGTACCTCGTGCAGGTGGGCGCTTGGTTGGGGGAGTTGAGGAGGTTTAGGGGGAGGTACTGGTGTGGTGGGATCTGGGAAGAGATGTTGTGATGGTGTCTCGCTTTGATGACACGAGCACCTTGAGCTACTGGCTCAGCAACCACGTTGTGCTGCTGTACCTCGTGCAGGTGGGCACTGCTGTGGAGTTCTAGGGTGCGGGGTGAGCGGATAGGATAGGAAGGGACGTGCATGTTGGGAGTGTGTTATATCGGTTGAGTGACATGAGCACCTTGAGCTACTGGCTCAGCAACCACGTGGTGCTGCTGTACCTGGTTCAGATGGGTGCTGGGGGTGGGGGGGGGGGTTCGATGGAGGTACTGGTGTGGTGGGATCTGGGATGAGATGCTATGATGGTGTTTCGCTCCAGTGACATGAGCACCTTGAGTTATTGGCTCAGCAACCACGCTGTGCTGCTGTATCTGGTGCAGGCGGGAACTGGGGAGGGTGAGGCATGAAGGTTAGGTAGTAGGTGCCAGGGTGGAGTATAAATTAGATGACGTAGTGTGTGAGGGCGTTTTCCCATGTAACCCCCCTGTGCAGGATTCCATACCCTCATTTCCCCCCCACAAATTCCTGCCCCATTTCCGTCTTCCGTTTTCAATATCCCCTCCTTTTCAGTTCTCCTTCGCCCTCTCCACCCTCTCCCCCCTCTCTCCCCTCCCCTCCTCCCCAGGTGGCGTACAAGCCGCCAGCAGAGAAGCCCAAGCTTCTCCCCTTGTCCCTAAACCCGAAACCTGCAGCTGGCTGAACCCCTCCCTCCCCCGAAGCCCAAGCTGCTCCCCCTGTCCCTAAACCCTTCCAACTCCCCCGCCCCCCCTCCCCTCCCAGGTGGTGTACAAGGCCCCAGCAGAGAAGCCCAAGTTGGAGCGCGTCACCACGTTTGGCTTCTTCGGCGCTCGCCCCCCCCACTCCGGTGAGATGCAATGCAGTGCTGTGGGGTGACATGCGGTGCTGTGGGTAAGTTTGTGGTCCTGTCAGGTTCTGATGTAATGTGATGCAGTTATTGCTCTTTCATTCTCTCCCCGCCTCGACCCCTTATTGTTTTGAGACGTCTCAAAGTTTCTTCCCCTGCACAGCTCTTCCAACATTATCACATTATCACACTGTCACATAATCATATTGTCTCATTATCGCATTATTACATTAGCACATCCAACTTGGGTTTCAACACAACAGTTCAGCAGGTGACCTTGTGAAAGCCACAAGAGTATACACCGTTCTCAACCTCTTTCCCATCCGTACCTTACTTCCCATCACTCCCACCCCCACTCCAACCGCGACCCAGTGCGACGATGCAGCAGGTGGATCTGATGCTCCTCAAGCAGCACAAGGAGGTTCAACAAGAAGCCACTCACTCACTAACTCTTTCCCTTCCCTCCACTCCTCCCTGTCACCTCCCCATCCAGCCGCGACCCAGCGCAACGATGCAGCAGGTGGATCTGATGCTGTTCAAGCAGCAGCTGGCGACCGGCATCGAGCGGCTGTATGTAACCATCCGTGACAGTGCCAAGACAGAGCTCGCCGTCCACTTCAACCCTCAGGTGTGGTGCGGTGGGGTGTGGTCTTGGGGGTTGGGGAGTGGTCTTGGGGGTTGAAGAGTGGTCTTCTGGGTTGGGGAATGGCCCTGGGGGTTGGGGAATGGCCCTGGGGGTTGGGAAGTGGATTTGGGGGTTGGCGTTGGCTCTGTGTGTGGGGAATGGTCACGCTGAACCCCTCTCTCCCTTCTCTCCCGTCTCCCAACTGTTTACCCTGCTCTTGTGCAAACCCTATCTGCCTCGGTCGTCTCCAGGCACGAGGAGCAGAGGCGGAAGCAGGCGAGGGAGCAGAAGCTGGGGAAAACGGAGGGCCGGGCATCCCCCCGGCAGGGGCGAGGGGGCGGGGGCGGGGGGGCCGGGCGCCGCAGCGCAACGCGGCGACAGCGATGCGGAAACACATCATATCGTCGTGGACCAACGTGGTCATCACTCTGCGCCACATCATCGGGAACCTTGTGGCCAATCACGTGCCGGCAGCGCTGCTGGACGCTCTGATTCGCCAGCTGCTGTTCTTTGTCAACATGAAGATATTTAACAGGTGGGTGGGTGGGTAAGTGGGTGGGTGGGTGGGTGAGTGGATGGATGGGTGGATGGGTGGGTGAGCGAGTTGATGGAGGAGGGGCTTGAAACTGGGAGTTGCCTCATTCTATTCCTCTCTTCTTCCCATCCACCCCCACCCCCCTCCCATCTTCCCTCCTATTAGCCTGAGGTGCGCGCGCAGTGGTGTCCGTGCACGTACAGCAACGGGGAGAGGATGGAGGAGGGGCTAAGCTGTCTGGAGCAGCGATGGATGCCGGTGGGACACTCGTCTTAGCCTTTTTTTCCCTCTCATCCCAAATCCCAACCAAACTCTGAGCCGTTGCAGCCTGATGGTGCGAGCGCAGTGGTGCCCGTGCACGTACAGCAACGGGGAGATGATGGAGGAGGGGCTCAGCCGTCTGGAGCAGAGCAGTGGGTGCACCGGAAGAGGTTCTCACACAAGTTCAATTTCCTTTCCTCGTGTCCCCTTCCTCCGTTGCAGCCTGATGGTGCGCGCGCAGTGGTGCCCGTGCACGTACAGCAACGGGGAGATGATGGAGGAGGGGCTCAGCCGTCTGGAGCAGTGGGTGCATGACGTGGAGGTGCAGCTGAGGGAGGTGCTGGGGGGGGAGAGGGAGCCCCTGAGGAAGGAGCTACGGCACCTGCAGCAGACCATTCTCTTCCTGGTGAGTGGCAATGGCAAGCCAATGTGTCTGTTCGTCCTGGTTGGTAAGCAGTGCAGCAGCAGTGGGTGCATGTCGCGGAGGTTCAACTAAGGGAGGTGCTTGGAGGGGAGAGAGAGCCGCTGCGGAAGGAGCTGCCGCACCTGCAGCAGACCATTCTCTTCCTTGTAAGTAGCAACAATTCGCCTTGCCTGCCCTACCTGGTAAGTCACACGTGCACCCCTGCAGCAGTGCACCCCTGCAGCAGTGGGTGCATGACGGGAGGTGCATCTGAGGGAGGTGCTGGGGGGGTAGAGCCAGCTGTGTCCGGATCTGAGCATGAACCAGCTGGTGCACATGTGCGTCTGGAACGAGGATGACAAGTAATGATTGCTCAACTCTACTGTTTCCCATGTCCCTCCCCTCCCCCCCCCCCCCCCACCCTCCAGACCCTGGACCACAAGCCGAGGCGAACACTAGAGGAGCTGCGCATGCTGTGCCCTGATCTGAGCATGAGCCAGCTGGTGCACATGTGCATCTGGTACGAGGACGACAGGCCATGGCCGTTCAACTCAACCGACTCCCCACTGTCCCTCCCTTTTCCCCCCACCAGACTCTGGATCACAAGCCCCGCAGGACACTAGAGGAACTGTGGATGCTATGCCCTGATCTGAGCATGAGCCAGCTGGTGCACATGTGTATCTGGTACGAGGACGACAAGTACGGCACCAAGGGCGTGGATACAAGTTCAATTCAACCGTTTCCCCTTGTCCCTCCGCTACCCTCCCACCAGACCCTGGACCACAAACCGCGGCGAACTTTGGAGGAGCTGCGGATGCTGTGTCCTGATTTAAGTATGAACCAGCTGGTGCACATGTGCATTTGGTACGAGGACGACAAGTACGGCACCAAGGGTGTGGACCCGAGTGTGATCGAGCAGATGTGGAGCGAGATGGTGGATGACAGCCCCATGCTGCTAAGGGATGGCGAAGGGTGAGTGTTGTGGGGACAGGACAGGTTGATATGTTTGGTTGTAGCATCGCAGGAGAGCGGATGTGGAGCGAGATGGTGGACGACAGCCCCATGCTGCTATGGGACGGTGAAGGGTGAGTGTTGTGGGGACAGGACAGGTTGATATGTTTGGTTGTAGCATCGCAGGAGAGCGGATGTGGAGCGAGATGGTGGACGACAGCCCCATGCTGCTGCGCGACGGCGAAGGGTGAGTACAAGGGCAGGAACTGGTGAGTAGGGGGTTGATGATGGGATGATACACAAGCATGCAAGGGTCTGTGTGATATTCGTATTTTCCCTCCTCTTCTTGACCTTGTTTCTCTCTGCATTTTCCCCTTCCCCTCCTACCCTCCTTCTCATCACAGCATCCCCTTCACAACGGACGAGATCGTACACAGCCTACCCGAGATAAACCTGGACGAGGTAGAGCCTCCCCCCGAGCTCCAAGACGACCCCACCTTCCACTTCCTCCTCCCCCTCACCTCCATCCCCTCCGTCCCCTCCACCCCAACTGCTGCCTCGCACACTCCCCGCAACGCCTCCCCGCGCCTCCCTCCCCCTTCCGTGCCATCATCCATCCCCCGATCGGCCTCACTCTCTCATGCCCATTCTCGGCCCGGCACCGCTCCCCACCCTATGGGGGGTGGTACTCCTAGGGCTGCTGGGGCGTCGTCGGTTGCGAGTACGCCTCGTGTGCCGTCGAGCCCTTGGGATTACTTCCGAGGGCGAGGGGCGTGGAAGAATGAAGATGCGTGATGATGAGTGGGGCGCAAGGGAGAGGAATAAAGGAGGGAGAGGCAGGAGGGAGAGGTATGAAGGAGCCAGGTGGGAGAGGCAGTAGGGATGGCTAAGACTTTTAGAACGTGCGATGGAAGGACTTCGAGAAATTTGCAGGAAGATGAGGCATGAAAGAGGCATGAGCAGGGATGGGATGAGGGCAGCAGGGGAAAAAGCATAGGTGATGTGCCAAAGGTAGGCAGTTAACATGCCTGGGTGATGTGTGCAGGAATGTAATGCCTGGCGTTTCTCTTGGTTTTTTGAGTGGTTCTCCTTGATAGGAATGAATGTTCTGGTGAGGGTGCCATGAATAAATTCTCTCGCAGAGTACAATGCATGTAGATACGGTTGTTCCACACCAGCTCTAGTTTCCTTGTGGGCTGTTCTCTGCACAGTTTGATTCTTTATGCTCGCTGTGCAGCTGTGATGTGTATGTGTGAGTATGTATTGTAGGCTACTTTCAATCAAGTCTAGCCTGTAGGCACTTGTTAAACTGTAACTAAATATATGGGATGTATGATAGTGTGTAAAATACAGTTGTGTTTGCCACTAGCCTTGTATGGAAACTTGAGTAGTCAGGGGCGTGTTCAAAGGGTGGTTCTCATCAGTCACGAGTTCATCAGTGTGAGCTCGTGCGCACGTTGACTCACGCTCCCGCCAGCACGGAAGTCTCGGAAAAAAATGCCTGCGTCGCGATAAAGCGCACCAAGGCGAGGCTGCGACACGTCCTGAACACACCGCACCCTGCCTTTTCTGCCCAGTAACCCCTGCATTCCCAATAGAAGCACTTGGCTCGAGCTTGCTTTCTGAAATCAGCTAGTCGTTCGTAACTGCTCAGTGCTTGCTTGGAGGTTTTCCTTAGCGTAGTTTTCTTTCTTACGGTCAGTAAACGCCATGGCGGACGTAGGGGGATACATGCCGCCGCAGGAGCCAGTAACTTACATGTGCGGGGGTACGATCCTTCTTTTCCGCCCTGGCCTCGGTTCCTCGAGTTAGCTCTTAAGCCGCTCTCCTCCTCGGAAGCGTCTTTTCTTTAGCTGTTCTACAGTTAGTTTTCTCATTTCCTTATGTTATTCGGTCGTGTTTATGCGTGCCAGAATGCGGTGCTGATAACACGTTGAAGCCCGGAGACGTGATCCAATGTCGAGAGTGCGGTTATAGAATTCTTTACAAGAAGCGAACGCGGCGCAGTAAGTCTTCTCGCAGACATGTGTGCTGACAACTATGTTTTTTTTTCCGAAAGGTTCAAGTGTGGTTAGGTAACCCTTGTTCCACTTATGCCCGGAAACCCGAAACCCAGTTGAACCCGGAAACCCGCTTATGCCCGAACCCTTGTTCCAGATCATGTTTTGTTCTGTTTGTTTTACATGGTAACCTCGTTTGCTTCTTGTTGTGTCATTGCTGTCACTAAGCTGTTGTTTCTCTCAATTAATTCTCACCCTCATCTTCTTGCTACGAGTCCCTGTGACCATGCCACCACCTCACCATGCGACCATGCTACCATCTCACCATGCCACAATTAACCATGCCGCCATCTCGCCATGCGCCCATGCTACCATCTCACCATGCCACAATCAACCATGACACCATCTCACCATGCGACCATGCTACCATCTCACCATGCCAGAATCAACCATCCCAACATCTCGCCCCTGCTCTTGTCCGCCCTGCATGCCCCATCCTAACTTCTCCTGCTAAACCATTTCCCACCATGTGTCCGTTTCCCACCCTCCGTCCCTCTGTGTGACCAGTTGTGCAGTTTGAAGCTCGGTGACCCCCCTTGTGGCCCCTTCCGCCCTTGCGTGCACTCTTCTGCTCTGCTCTGCTGCTGCTCCAACTGTGCTTTGCCCCTGGCACAGATCCCTGTTTTGTACATGCGAAATAAGCGCTGCAATATGCTGCACATGAAGACATGCTGCTTGTGTAATATGGATGAAGCTGACATGCAAAGTGAGATCTATTAAGCTACCGTACTACAGCAACCTCTATTGCAGGAGAATTGCTTGTCACAGAGTAGGGGTGGGCTTATGCATGGGAGGAGCAGTACCCTGTGGGAGGGTCCCCTGTGGTGGCAGACAGACATGTGCTTGTGGTTCTGTGACTAATGTGAGCAACCTTGGCAGCACTGTCAGTTACTTGACAGATGTTGGGCACCTGCCTGAGCAGAATTGCATACACTCCAGTTAAACTTGTAGAGACTCATGTGTTAATGCTTGCAGCAGTTCAACCTCTCCCATCTGTGGCAGTGCTTCCCTAGGCTACTGCGTGTGGTTACCACTGTCTGACATGAGATTCAAACCTACCGTAGTACAGGAAATGGATTTAAGTAAATATGACTGCATGAGCAAAAGGGAAAAAATAACAACTTCCGTACATGTAAAAAAACCTAACCCAAGCATCAGGTTCACTTGAGGGAAGGATCAAGCTCGCCCAGATAGATGCGTTTGTCAGAGGAGCAGGAGCCGATGATGGGCTGTGAGGGATGGAACACCGCCTCGTTCACTGATCCGTTGTGACCCGGCAACTGCAGCAGCATCACGTGAGGAGGGCGATGGGAGAGATATGGAGATGGGGTAGGGGATTGGGATCAGGCACAGCTGAACCCCCCATACCATGCAATCAGCATGTGCTCTGTACAAACGGCCATCCGTCATAGCACAAGGCGTTTGAGTTGACTCAAAACACATCAGGCACAGTTGAACCTCCCATGCCATGCCATCCCCCCCATACCATGCAATCCCCCTCATACCATGCAATCCCCCCCATACCATGCAATCCCCCCCATACCATGCAATCCCCCCCATACCATGGAATCCCCCCCATACCACGCAATCCCCCCCATACCATGCAATCCCCCCCATACCATGCAATCCCCCCCATACCATGCAATCCCCCCCATACCATGCAATCCCCCCCCATACCATGCAATCCCCCCCATACCATGCAATCCCCCCCATACCATGCAATCCCCCCCATACCATGCAATCCCCCCCATACCATGCAATCCCCCCCATACCATGCAATCCCCCCCATACCATGCAATCCCCCCCATACCTGCAATCCCCCCCATACCATGCAATCCCCCCCATACCATGCAATCCCCCCCATACCATGCAATCCCCCCCATACCATGCAATCCCCCCCATACCATGCAATCAGAAAGTACTTCGCACAGGCGGCCATCCGTCTTAGCACAACCCTGTTGCCTCCATGATCAACCCTATACCTTGTGAGGCGTCTCAGCGGTATACCTCGTACCGGACTTGGCTCGTGGTTTTGGGTCGACTCAAAAGCAGCCTCAGAGGTATACCTTGCACCAGACTTGGCTAATGGCGGTGCCTCAAACAAACGCGATGCAATGAAGATGAACGTTGCATCAAAGGTCAGCGTCCTACATGATCAAAGGTCAGCATCCTACATGATCAAACAAACAACCCTGTACCTTGTAACGAGTCCGGTGCATGGTGGTATCCCACACATACACCATGCAGTTACCATGCCCCTCCCTGCACCATTTGTACCCCATACGTGTAAAGAATCCGCCGCATTGTCCTGTCCCAAACATACACCATGCGGTTACCATGTCCCTCCCTGCACCCTGCACCCTGCGCTCACAAATAACCTCTATACCTTGTAAAGAATCCGCAGCATCGTGGTGTCCCACACATACACCATGCGATTAGCATGCATCTTGTGCTGATTAATCCCATCCCTTTTAACACCCACCCACTGCTGTACCCTGTATAATCAACCCCATACGTACCTTGTAAAGAATTCACCGCATTGTGGTGTCCCACACATACACCATGCGATTAGCATGCATCTCGTGCTGATTAATGTCATCCCTTTTAACACCCGCCCACCGCTGTACCCTGTATAATCAACCCCATACGTACCTTGTAAAGAATCCGCCGCATCGTCGTGTCCCACACATACACCATGCGGTCGGCGCTGCCAGCTGTCACGCGGGAGCCGTCCGGCGACCAATCGCACTTCAGCAGGTTCTTCTCCACGCTGTGCTGGTGCCCTGTGAATATCTTCACACAACGATTCTGGGTGATGGGGACGGGTGGTTTCGGGGAGAAAAAGGGGGGTTAGTACGGCACATGTGGAGGGGCTGAGCGGCGAGTGCTTGTAGGGGCTAAACACGAATCGCATTTGAGCAGATTCTTCTCCACGCTGTGCTGGTGGTCTGTGAAGATCTTCACACACCGGTTCTGCGCAATGGGGAGGGTGGGGGAGGAGAACAGGGGGGGTTAGCACAGCGCATGTGGAGTGGAGAGGATGAGGGGGGAGTGCTTGTAAGGGCCTCACACCAATCGCATTTGAGCCAGTTCGTCTCCACGCTCTGCTGGTGCCCTGTGAAGATCTTCACACACCGGTTCTGCGCAACGGGGAGGGATAGTATGACGCATGTGGAGTAGAGAGGCTGAGCGGCTAGTAGTTAAAGGGGCCTCAGGCCACTCGCATTTGAGCTGTGCTGTGTCTCAGGGATCTCCTCCCCACTGTGCTGGTGCCCACTGTGCAGAGGGGCGGGAGGGTTGGTGTGGAGGGAGAAAGGGGGAGGAGGGCGACGGGCGGAGGGCGACAGGCGGAGGGAGGGGGGCGGAAGGAGAGGGGCGGAGGGAGAGGAGCGGAGGGAGAGGAGCGGGGGGAGCAGAGTGGGGGCGGAAGGCGGAAGGCGCGGCATGGGAGGGTTCGTATGTGGAGAACGGGGAGGAGGGAAGCACAGGGGTGTTAGAATGGTGGATGCGTCGCAAAGGGGTGGAGGTGGGAATGAGGTATCCAATCTGAGAAGTGGAGGGAATGAACGGCAGAGACGCTCAAGAGGAGGGCGAGGAAAAGGAGTAAGATGCCCAAGTAAGAAGTAAGAAGTACTTGTTAATATTATTCGCCGGATCTTCACCATGCCACTTGTTGCAGTTAGAGAGAAGCCCGCACGGCACCACTCGGATTGGGGGGTGCATGGTTTGAGAAGCGCACAGGAACGCACCTGCGAGGCGTAGACTTGAAGGCTCAACCGAGAGCTCATGATGTCTAGTTTTGAGGCGCCTCAAAACTAGACTTGAAGGCTCAACTGAGAGCTCATGATGTCTAGTTTTGAGGCGCCTCAAAACTAGACTTGAAGGCTCAACTAAGAGCTCATGATGTCTAGTTTTGAGGCGCCTCAAAACTAGACTTGAAGGCTCAACTGAGAGCTCATGATGTCTAGTTTTGAGGCGCCTCAAAACTAGACTTGAAGGCTCAACTAAGAGCTCATGATGTCTAGTTTTGAGGCGCCTCAAAACTAGACTTCAAGGCTCAACTGAGAGCTCATGATGTCTAGTTTTGAGGCGCCTCAAAACTAGACTTGAAGGCTCAACTGAGAGCTCATGATGCAGAGAGCACACCAAAACGCAGCTGGGGCGCATAGATCCGGTCAGATGCATGGAGTGTATGCATCCCATGGTGTTGATGAGTGGATAGGGGAGTGAAGTGAGAACGAACGCCATTCACAGGGTGTATGGTTGCATACGATAGAAAAATGTTTTTTGAGACGTCTCAAAAGCCACTTGATAAGATGTATGAAACAATCTTTTATCATGAACGCCATCTACAGGGTGTATGGTTGGGTATGATGCGAACAGCACACAGCACACCTGCGGGGCGTAGGGCCGGAGGTCCCAGATGCGCAGGGTGCAGTCCATGGCGTTGGTGAGCAGATACGCCCCATCCGGGCTGACCCTCATGCCCGTGATCGTATCTGTGTGCCCCAGCAGCCTCATCACCGGCTCCGCTCCTTTGCCGCCCCCGCCCCCGGTCTCTCCGCTTCCGCCCTCTGCTGCGCCCTCTCCCCCCGCCCCTGCTGCTGTTGATGTGCCGCCTGATTTTCGAAGGTCCCAGACCTTTATTTGGTTGTCGATTCCGCCCGAGTACACTTTGTCCCCGTTGTAAGAGAATGCCACGGCAGTGACCTGTGGGATGGAGGGAGGGAGAGGGTTCGGTTGGGAAGTGCATAAGTTCGGCTGATAAACAAGGTCACTTCGAATCAAACACAGAAACCACAAACTCACCACCCACGCACCATGCCCACCCGCACGCATGCACACATGCATTCACACACGCACACCTCCCGCACGCACAAGCGCATGGCTGATAGATTATTACAGCCCACCCCCACCTGGTATTTATCAGGAAACGTCTGGATGCACCCCCCCACGCAGGCAGCAGCCCGTAGCGCAGCAGATGAGGTGCGTAGTACATCACATCTCACCCACCTGGTATTTATCGGGGAAAGTCTGGATGCATCCGCGACACGCGCATGTCCCACAGCTTGGCTGTGCCGTCGTCGCTACCGCTGACGATGAGCGGGGGTCGTCAGGGGCCGGGGCAGCAGCCCCTAAAGCAGCGGACGAGGGATCACCCACCTGGTACTTGTCAGGGAAAGTCTGTATGCATTCGCGCACGCGCATGTCCCACAGTTTGGCCGTGCCGTCATCGCTGCCGCTGACTATCAGCGGAGGGCTTCTGGGGGCCTCTGGGTGGCAGGCAGCAACCACTAAAGTAGCATACGAGGGTTCACCCACCTGGTATTTGTCGGGGAACGTCTGGATGCACCCGCGAACGCGAATGTCCCACAGCTTGGCCATGCCGTCGTCGCTGCCACTGACTACCAAAGGAGGGCCTCTGGGGGCCGGGCAGCAGCCCCTTCACCCACCTGGTACTTGTCTGGAAATGTCTGGATGCATCCCCTGACGCGCATGTCCCACAGCTTGGCCGTGCCGTCGTCGCTGCCACTGACGATGAGCGGCGGGCCTCTGGGGGCCGGGCAGCAACTGTTGACGAACGACGAATGCTCCGCCATCTTCTTGATCTGTTGCAGGAGGCGGGGGAGGGGTGGGGGAAGGAAGACGAGAGAGTCACGGAGAGGCAGAGAAAGGCAGCAACTGTTGATAAACGAGGAGTGCTCTGCCATCTTCTTGATCTGTTACAGGGTGGGGGGAAGAGAGTGGGAAGGAGGGGATTGGGGTTGGAAGGTCAGGGTGCAAGAGGGAGAGTAAGCCTGAGAGGGCGTCTCTGGGCGGGCACCGGCCCCTGGGCAGCAGCTGTTGACGAATGACGAATGCTCCGCCATCCTCTTTATCTGTTGTGGAGTAGGAATGGAATGGGGTGAGGGACTTTTGAGTCAATGCAGACGCCACCCCAGCAGCAGCTGCCCAATCCATGCAAACCACTCCTCTGTCTCTCACCTGCTTGCCTGTCTCCAAATCCCACATGGCCCCACATGCCCACTCCCGCTCTCACCCGTTTCCCCGTCTCCACATCCCACGCTCGCACGGTCTGATCAGGGCTGGCAGACACGATGCTGTGGCCATCCGACGTCCACTGCAGTGCAGCTACAGCATAGCACACTGAATCCATGCAAACCACCCCCCTCCACCTCTCACCTGCTTCCCTGTCTCCACGTCCCAAGCCCGCACGGTCTGGTCGGGGCTGGCAGACACGATGCTGTGGCCGTCTGACGTCCACTGCAGCTCGAGAATCACGTTCTTGTGGCCCTTGAGCACCATGTAGTTGTCGCACTCGCCCTCTATGCGCCACAGGACTGAGAATAAAAAGAGAGGTGTGGGGTGGGGAGGGCGGAAAGGGGATGACTGAGCGTGTTCTGCAGCTCGAGAAGGGAGTTATTTTGGCCCTTGAACACCATGTAGTTGTCGCACTCGCCCTCTATGCACCACAGAACTGGTGGGGGAGGGGGATACGGAAAAAACATTAAGAGAGGGTATAAGGGGTGCATGCTCCTTCACTGCAGCTCGAGAATGGCGTTCTCATGGCCCTTGAGCACCATGTACTTGTCGCACTCGCCCTCTTTGCGCCACAGGACTGCCGATAAATCATAAAGGGAGGTGACGGGGGGAGGTGGATGGTGCGCTACTAAACAGCAGGACGCAAGACGACCGCATAAAGTGGTGAGAGCACGAGTGATGAGTGCGCAAGTGGCGAGTGCGCGTGTAGCATGCCACCTGATGACTTAATACCAGTGCACCTAAAGCACAGCGTTCTTGCGGTTCTTAGGCACCGTGTAATCCTCGCACTCGCCCTGACACATGACTGAAAAGAGGAGGGGGGATGGTTAAAAAGGGTTCAAGAGAGAGAAGGAATACAGGGGTGTGCTTTCCTTCACTGAAGCTCTAGAATGCCGTTCTTTTGGCCCTTGGGATGGGACGCCATGTAGCTTTCGCACTCGCCCTGCGCACGCCACAGGACTAAAGAGGAGGTGGCAAAAAACAAGGTTGGGGGCAGGAGGGAGGTGGGAAGGAAGAAGGGGAGTGGCACTCACACACAAAAATGTAGTGACTCATACAAAGTAGCTAGCAAGCTTTCACAGAATAGTACGTAACACAAGAAATCACACTTACAGATCTCCTTGTCTTGTGAACCCGAAGCAATGACCTCCCCATCCGGACTGAACTTCATGGTGAATACCCCCGCCTGGAGGCAGAGATAGAGGGGATGGGAGATACGGGGAATGGAAGGCGGGTGGAAACAGGGATGGTGGGTGGGTTGGTACTATGATCCTAACCTCACACTTCCTCCCCATCCGGACTGAACTTCATGGTGAATACCCCCGCCTAGAGGGAGGAGTGGAGGGATGGGCGCATGCGAGAACGGGGCGCATGGGGGAATGGGTTTGTAAGGGGGATGTGTGCAGAAGGGGATGTGCACATGGGAGACAGGGGGGAATAGACGCATATTGATGGGGGGATGGGCGCATGGATGGGGGATGGGCGCATTCATGGGGAAAAGGCAAAAGCAGGAATATGATTCCTTAGTTAAATTCTTACAAAAATAGCATGACTGATATTTATGGCAAAGTTTTAAGCGGATGGGGGAAAGGGTGCATGGCGGGATGGGCGCATGGGGGAATAGGCGCATGGGGGAATGGGCGCATGGGGGAATAGGCGCATGGGGGAATAGGCGCATGGGGGAATAGGCGCATGGGGGAATAGGCGCATGGGGGAATGGGCGCATGGGGGGAATGGGCGCATGGGGGAATAGGCGCATGGGGGAATAGGCGCATGGGGGAATAGGCGCATGGGGGAATAGGCGCATGGGGGAATGGGCGCATGGGGGAATGGGCGCATGGGGGAATAGGCGCATGGGGGAATGGGCGCATGGGGGAATGGGCGCATGGGGGAATAGGCGCATGGGGAATGGGCGCATGGGGGAATAGGCGCATGGGGGAATAGGCGCATGGGGGAATGGGCGCATGGGGGAATAGGCGCATGGGGGAATAGGCGCATGGGGGAATGGGCGCATGGGGGAATGGGCGCATGGGGGAATGGGCGCATGGGGGAATGGGCGCATGGGGGAATAGGCGCATGGGGGAATAGGCGCATGGGGGAATGGGCGCATGGGGGAATAGGCGCATGGGGGAATAGGCGCATGGGGGAATGGGCGCATGGGGGAATAGGCGCATGGGGGAATAGGCGCATGGGGGAATAGGCGCATGGGGGAATGGGCGCATGGGGGAATAGGCGCATGGGGGAATGGGCGCATGGGGGAATGGGCGCATGGGGGAATGGGCGCATGGGGGAATGGGCGCATGGGGGAATAGGCGCATGGGGGAATAGGCGCATGGGGGAATGGGCGCATGGGGAATAGGCGCATGGGGAATAGGCGCATGGGGGAATAGGCGCATGGGGGAATGGGCGCATGGGGGAATAGGCGCATGGGGGAATGGGCGCATGGGGGAATAGGCGCATGGGGGAATGGGCGCATGGGGAATGGGCGCATGGGGGAATGGGCGCATGGGGGAATGGGCGCATGGGGGAATAGGCGCATGGGGGAATAGGCGCATGGGGGAATGGGCGCATGGGGGAATAGGCGCATGGGGGAATAGGCGCATGGGGGAATAGGCGCATGGGGGAATAGGCGCATGGGGGAATGGGCGCATGGGGGAATAGGCGCATGGGGGAATAGGCGCATGGGGGAATAGGCGCATGGGGGAATAGGCGCATGGGGGAATGGGCGCATGGGGGAATAGGCGCATGGGGGAATAGGCGCATGGGGGAATGGGCGCATGGGGGAATGGGCGCATGGGGGAATGGGCGCATGGGGGAATAGGCGCATGGGGGAATGGGCGCATGGGGAATAGGCGCATGGGGGAATAGGCGCATGGGGGAATGGGCGCATGGGGGGAATAGGCGCATGGGGGAATAGGCGCATGGGGGAATGGGCGCATGGGGGAATGGGCGCATGGGGGAATGGGCGCATGGGGGAATAGGCGCATGGGGGAATGGGCGCATGGGGGAATAGGCGCATGGGGGAATAGGCGCATGGGGGAATGGGCGCATGGGGGAATAGGCGCATGGGGGAATAGGCGCATGGGGGAATAGGCGCATGGGGGAATAGGCGCATGGGGGAATGGGCGCATGGGGGAATAGGCGCATGGGGGAATGGGCGCATGGGGGAATGGGCGCATGGGGGAATGGGCGCATGGGGGAATGGGCGCATGGGGGAATGGGCGCATGGGGGAATAGGCGCATGGGGGAATAGGCGCATGGGGGAATGGGCGCATGGGGGAATAGGCGCATGGGGGAATAGGCGCATGGGGGAATAGGCGCATGGGGGAATGGGCGCATGGGGGAATAGGCGCATGGGGGAATAGGCGCATGGGGGAATGGGCGCATGGGGGAATAGGCGCATGGGGGAATAGGCGCATGGGGGAATAGGCGCATGGGGGAATAGGCGCATGGGGGAATAGGCGCATGGGGGAATGGGCGCATGGGGGAATAGGCGCATGGGGGAATGGGCGCATGGGGGAATGGGCGCATGGGGAATGGGCGCATGGGGGAATGGGCGCATGGGGGAATAGGCGCATGGGGGAATAGGCGCATGGGGGAATGGGCGCATGGGGGAATAGGCGCATGGGGGAATAGGCGCATGGGGGAATGGGCGCATGGGGGAATAGGCGCATGGGGGAATGGGCGCATGGGGGAATAGGCGCATGGGGGAATAGGCGCATGGGGGAATAGGCGCATGGGGGGAATAGGCGCATGGGGGAATGGGCGCATGGGGGAATAGGCGCATGGGGGAATAGGCGCATGGGGGAATAGGCGCATGGGGGAATAGGCGCATGGGGGAATGGGCGCATGGGGGAATAGGCGCATGGGGGAATAGGCGCATGGGGGAATGGGCGCATGGGGGAATAGGCGCATGGGGGAATAGGCGCATGGGGGAATGGGCGCATGGGGGAATAGGCGCATGGGGAATAGGCGCATGGGGGAATAGGCGCATGGGGGAATAGGCGCATGGGGGAATGGGCGCATGGGGGAATAGGCGCATGGGGGAATAGGCGCATGGGGGAATAGGCGCATGGGGGAATAGGCGCATGGGGGAATGGGCGCATGGGGGAATAGGCGCATGGGGGAATAGGCGCATGGGGGAATGGGCGCATGGGGGAATAGGCGCATGGGGGAATAGGCGCATGGGGGAATGGGCGCATGGGGGAATAGGCGCATGGGGGAATAGGCGCATGGGGAATAGGGCGCATGGGGGAATAGGCGCATGGGGGAATGGGCGCATGGGGGAATAGGCGCATGGGGGAATGGGCGCATGGGGAATGGGCGCATGGGGGAATGGGCGCATGGGGGGAATGGGCGCATGGGGGAATAGGCGCATGGGGGAATAGGCGCAATGGGGGAATAGGCGCATGGGGGAATAGGCGCATGGGGAATGGGACGTGTGAAGGGATAGACAAAGAGGGGATGGGCAAATGGAAAATTGGCCCATTGGTGTGAGTAGTGGTACTCACCGCATGGCCTGTGAGCAGCATGATTGGAGCGAGCAGCGACGACGTCCTCTTGACTCCCTGCATGGCAAATGGCAACGTACAAAGGAAGGCACGCACAAAAACGCAACACACATCACACGATGAGATGTAATTTTTTTAGTTGGCTCAAGCAGCGACGGCGGCCCCTTCACTCGCTGCACGGCAAATGGCAACGTACAAAGCCATGCCATGCCATGCACAACACATCAAGAAACGAGGAGACCGAGACCACCGTTGGCGCATGTACAGGTGGTGACAGCTGAAACGAATCAGCGAATTGCCAGCTGTAGAGAATCCCAGTGACCTAGTTGACTATAGTCTACAGTGCTTTGACCATACTCTACAGTGTTTTTACCATAAATCAACCTAACCACTACAAGGTGGGAAAGAGTAGGCGTAGTACGCAGACGTTTCAAAATGCACTTCCATTCAATCAGCTGATAGAACCTTTTTTTTTTTGTGACGAAATCAGGAACCCAAAGGGACAATTGGGATGACAATGAGCGGCCATCTATCAGGTGCTACGACTCGGAATCAACAATGATTAGTTCTGTTAAGCCGTTGGGATGCCAGCCCCCTCATATTCAGCCTTAGCAGCACTTGTTCTAATGATGGAGAAAACCTTGAGGTTCGAAGCGCGAGGTATCTCTTGAGTCAGTCGGCAAACCTAATTCTTCTGTGCGAATGGTTTTCGAATGCCACTTCAGCGCATCAGACGAGGAGAAGGGAAGCGCATGTATTTAGCAATGGCTTACGTCTTTAGTGACGGTTAATTGCTTCCCCTTGTCGCCATCTGCCCCAGGTGACACCGCCACCAGATCCGTCCGTTGCCGCTTCGTCGGAACCAGCTCCTGCCCCTCGGGACCATCGCCGTCGCGCTTTTCGGGCATTTCGCCGGTTGCTGATTCACCAAGAGGGAGAAGATAAGATCCAAACAAGCTAACCGGAGAGAGACGGGTTCTAGAATTGAGAGGTCAAGAACAAAGAGAAGCTCTGTCGCTGGTCAGGTTGTCTGGCGCCCTGAGTGGATAACTCGACAGCTAATACTAAAAACAAGCTGAAATTGCGTTGCTCGATTAAAGTCAGAAATGCGGAAAAGCTAACTAGTTTTTGCATTCAAACCCCTAACAGAGCAGGGCGTGGTTACAAAATCGAACACGGAAAGTTTTCGCTTTTCAGTTCGCGTCACCTAGTAACTAGAGTTCGGTCCGCAAAATGTCTTCTCGGCCAGAACAGAGTTCGCGAGCACGAGATGGTGCTTTCGGACCGAGCTGACGAAAACGGGCGTAACAAACCGACGTCAGCTCGGTCCGAAACTAAAGAGACTCTGAAGTACTACCCAACAGGTGTTTTTATCCTGTCAGAACGTCCTTCGCAAAGCTGGTCGAGGGGTATGCGATAGTAACCGCTTAGAGACTACGTGAAATCGTCCTTTGTTGCGGCCGATTTTATCCCCTCGTTGATAACACGCTGTCTCTTGCTTCATCTCTGCCACACGAGAGGGACAGTCGCGAATGCCGTCGCGATTCTAGCTCTAATATAAACTGGTTCCAAGGCCACAACACATCGACAAACCTCTTCTGTCTGGCCCATAAGACCGCAAGGTCTGCCGTCTGGTTTTTATCCTCAATCCGTTTTCATCGCAATTTTTTGCTCTCGTATCTCAAGTCTTCTCGAAATGGAGCTTCGTGCGGTGGACCTTACTCACGTTCGTTACTATCACGATGACCCCCTCGGTGTAGTCATGGCATGGGCCTCGCTCGTCCCCGTGTTCATCGCATTCGGCTGCTTCCCCACCCACGTGGTCTTCCGCCGCGATTTGCGGACCATGTTCTTCATGCTCGGCCTCCTATTGGACGACACGTTCAACCACGTCATCAAGCACGCGCTCGAGATGCCGCGTCCGCCGCACACGTGCGCGGCGCTCGAGGTGTGCGATTCGCACGGCATGCCGTCCGCGCATTCGCAATTCATGTCGTTCTTCGCGACGTTCGCGACGTGGCTCGTGTTTTTACAAAATGGATTACGAGGACGAGAGGTGGCGATGGATCACCGCCGTCCTCCCGTGGCCCTTCACCTTTCTCACCATGGCCTCGCGGGTGTACCTCGGTTACCATACGATACCGCAGGTGAGCTTATATGGGGTATGAAAGTAAATGGGGAGTTTCATTAGAGTTCTTCAATGTGATAAGCGGCATGTGGAAGTGAGGCAGTGACCAAATCAAAGCACGGCCAACCAAGCGTTTGACGTGACACAACCATATTGCATGCATGGCACAGCTATCCGACATTGCACATCCACCTGACATGGCACATCGTCTAACCCTCCACAACTCCCCTCCCGTCTTCTTACACTTGTCAAGCCACACGCCTTTCCCAGTCCCGTCCTCTTTTTCCCGGTTCCTCCCATCCCTTCACAGTCTGTCTAAAACCACCTCTTCCATTCACCCTTCATTCCACTTGCCCCCTCCCCCTTCATGCCCCCCCTCCACTCCCCCTTCATGCCCCCCTCCACTCCCCCTTCATGCCCCCCTCCGTTTTTATGCCCTCTTCCCTTCCTCATCCCTCCCCCCACTCTTTCATGCCCCCTACCCCCTCATGCCCCGTCTTTTTTTCATGCCCCCTAACCACCCCCTCCCTCCCCTTTCTTTTCATGCCCCTATCATCACCTCATGTCACCCACCTCTTTCATGCCCTTAACCACCCCCTCCCTCTCCCCTCTCTCATCGCCCCCTACCCCTCATGCCCCCCCTTCTTGCATGCCCCTAACCACCCTCCCCCTCTTTCTTTTCATGCCCCTCATCACCCCATGTCACCCACTTCCCTCTTGCCAGTGCGTCTGTGCCCCGGGCATGCCCAAACCATTTTGTGAAGTGAACTGCCACTAACGAATGCTTCTTTCTCCCCAACCAACCATTTCAGGGAGCGCATCAAGAACGTCTGCGCATTCACATTCCCATCCCCATTCCCATCCCCATCCATCCCCATTCCCATCCCCATCCACATTCAAATGCGCGTTTCACAGCACCTCAATTCACCGTTACGTTCTCCTCCTACCTCATCCCCTTTCCCGCCCCCAGGTTCTTGCATGTTTCATCCTGGGCATCCTCGCCGAGTCGCCGCCTCCGTCTGGTTCTCTCTGGAACGAGGCAGTTTTTAAATCGACAAAAAAATCGTCCAGCTCTACTTGGTGCACCGTGTGTGTGTGTCCGTGCATTAACGGCGACTGCTACATCCAAATACTCGTAACTCCGCCCCTTCCCCGCCCATCAGGTCCTCGCAGGCTTCGCCCTGGGCATCCTCTCTGCGTCCACCTGGTTTCACCTGATGCACCGTGTGTCTACCTGTGCATTAACGACAATTACCGCATTGTACATTCTTTTTCTGCCCGCTCCTGCATAATGGAATCCTGTCGACCCTCCACCTGGTTCTACGTGGTGCACCGTGTGTTTGCGCCCTCTTCCCCGCGAGGCTTACCACTCTCGTCCATTCACTCTCTTCACACCCGCCCCCAGGTTCTAGCAGGCTTCACCCTCGGCAACCTTTCCGCCTCCACTTGGTTCTACGCGGTGCACCGTGTGCTTGCGCCCTTCTTCTCTTCACCTCGATCCTCTTCTTCCCTCCCCACCTTTTCTTCACCCACCTTACGTCCATACCTCAGGTCCTAGCAGGCTTCACCTCGGAATCCTCTCGCCTCCACCTGGTTCTACGTGGTGCACCGTGTGCTCGCACCCTTCTTTGCTTCACCTTACCACTCTTCGTCCCTTCACTCACCATTCACACCCGCCTTCAGGTTCTAGCCGGCTTCACCCTGGGCATTCCCTCAGCGTCCTTCTGGTTCTACGTGGTGCACCGTGTGTTTGCGCCCTTCTTCCAGCCATCTCCGACAGCGTGTGGGGGCTAGGTACCTGTGCATCAAGGACGACTGCCACATCCTCATGTGACATGCCCATCCCGTCCACCTTCACATTTTACAGCCACATTCACATACACATTTTCCTATCTCCTCCTCCTTCCCCGCCTTCAGGTTCTAGGCTGGCTTCACCCTCGGAATCCTCTCGGCCTCCTTCTGGTTCTACGTGGTTGCACCGTGTGTTTTGCGCCCTTCTTCCAGCCATCTCCGACAGCGTGTGGGGCGGTACCTGTGCATCAAGGACGACTGCCATATCCGCAACGTGGCTGTCTTTGAGTACCTCAACTCGCAGCTGAGCGAGGGAGGAGCAGCGCGCGCGAGAGAAAGCGCAGAATGCAGAGCAGGAGAAATTGCTGGAGAAATCTCAGGAGAAAACGCAGGAGAAAAGTGCAGCAGGGGAAGGAAGAGGAGGTGGATGAGCAGCAGGGGGCAAGCAGCAGCAGTTCAGCAGAGGAGAGTGCACCTGATGGAATCTGCCAAGACAGAGTAACCTAAAGTAGAGCTCAGACGTCGCAGGGAACGCGTGGGGGTGGTACCTGTGCATCAAGGACGACTGCCATATCCGTAACGTGGCTGTCTTGAGTACCTCAACTCGCAGCGAGCGAGGGAGAAGATGCGCGCGCAAGAGAAGCCCGAGCGAGTGGGAGAGCAGAAGTCGCTGACGGCAGAGCAGGGATAAATTGCTGGAGAAAGTGCAGCAGGGGAAAGAAGATCGAGGTGGATGGGCAGCAGCAGGGGGTAAGGAGCAGCAGGCAGCAGAGGAGAGCATGCGTGATGGTTCTGCCAATACGGAATAGATCGGGGGAAGGCTAGCAGGGAAAGTTCCATGTTTTGGAGAGCTGAGGCTCGTTATGTGGGGTGGACGCCGTACAAAATAAGAACAGAAGACTTCCCTTCTTTTTTTTTTGTTTTGTTTATTTTGTTTTCGTAGCATTGCATGGTGTTGAAAATACTCTAGGTGCACTTTCACTTGCGAAAATGCATTCTCGATGTTTGTGAAGAGGTGAATGTATAATGAGTACCATTTTCGCTATCTGCACTGTATCTTATACTGCACCCACCAATGTGCAGGAAACACTGCTGTTGGCAGTCACCTTTTGTTTGCGTTGACTGACGTCTTTGATTTGATTATCGTCGAACATTTTCAGCTCTCATCGTCCCACATTTTCAACACATCTACAACCGAACCTCCACATATGGTCTGGTTGCTCCGAACCTGTGCAGTCGGCGAGGACATTGTACATGGCTTGGTAATACCATACGTAAGGCCAAACCAGAAACACAGTTTTCACCAAGTTTGACTCGCGAGTCGCTGACTCCTGATTTTGACTCCCTAGCATATGAATAGCCTTTGACTCTCCTAGCACTTCATCACCAACCTCCATACCAGTCTCCCCAAAGCGACAAGTAACTTAGTGACCCAAGCTTAGGCTCCAAACAGAGCGACTAGTGACAGCAGGAAGCAAACGTTCGCCAATTCGTCGATCGCAGCTACGACACCAGCCATGGCAATCAAAGCGCTCGTCACCCTCCTCGTGCATCCTCCTCCTCGTGTCGACGACCGCATTGGCGCAGCGCGGTCCGCCTGGCGGAGGTCCTCCCGGCGGTCAGGGGACCGGGGGGCGCGCGCGGAGGTCCTGGCGCCGGCCCTGGCGGAAAGCCGCCACACGGTCCGCCGCTAAACCTGACGGCTGTCGGGAATCTGACGGCCGATGTCGGCGCGCGACTGGCCAACTGCACGGCTGATCAGAAAATCCTTGACGGCCGCTTCCACCTCGCCATCTTCAAGTAGGCCTCGCTGCCTTCCTATCTGTCGCCTCACATCTGTTGTGTGTTTACCGCATAGTCTTTCAGCTCTACTAGAAGTAGTTACTCGACATTGGATTCGCACGCGCCTCGCCCCAGGTGCACTCAATATATTCGAAACCCCTTAGCAGAAGTTACTCTGATCTTCGAGCTCATTAGGAATATATTCCTCCCTTCCCTCCTTCCCGTCCCCCCTCTTCCTGCCCTCCCCTTCCTTTCCTTCCCCTGTTTCAGCAGAAACGCCACCGGCAATTACACTCGTCGAGGCGCTGCCTTTCGAGTCGACTCAAAAGTCAGCCCCTTCCCCTCTTCCTCCCTTCCCTTCCCCTTCCTTCCCTTCCCCTCTTCCCTCCTTCCCTTCCCCTTCCTTCCCTTCCCCTCTTCCCTCCTTCCCTTCCCCTTCCTTCCCTTCCCCTGTTTCAGAAACGCCACTGGCAATTACAACCTTCTCGTCGAGGCACTCCTAGTGGATGCGGCAGGCGGTCCGCCCGACTCGCTCGCAATCGTGAAGGGCGCCGTGTGCGACACCGCCGCGACGAACGTCCTCGCGCTGCCGCTCGCCGCGGCGGACTGGCAGCAGCGCGCGGGGTGGTGGCTGCTGCACGCGGAGGCGCGCCTCGACGCGTTCCTCGAGAATGCGGACGCCGCCACCCTCGACGCGCTGCTCGCGGTGCTCCCCAACGCCTCGCTTCCGCGCAAGATCGGCGGAGGCGCCGGCGGAGGCAGCGCCGGGGGCGCGCGGAGCGGGAAGGGTGGGAGGCCCATGGGGCGGGAGCTGGTGATGCGCGCATTCGGCCGCCCTGCCAGGCAGGGCGGACAGAAGAAGGGGGGGCAGCAGCAGCAAGGAGGGCAGCAGCAGCAGGGGGGAGCGCAGCAGCCGCCTGCAGGTGGTTTTTCAGGTGGATTTCCAGGTGGTGATGGCGGAGTGAACAGCACAGTGAGCGGGTATGCTGTGCTGGCGGGCAGCAGCGCAGCAGGTGTGACGTGGGGCGGACAGCTCATGGGTGGCAAAATTCCTGATGCTGCTACTGCTGGTTCTGCTGGTTCTGCTGCTGGTTCTACTGCTGCTTGGTATTAGAGTACACTGTCTTGGCGAGGCTCTAGTGGAGTGGGCTTGGTATGCAGGGTGTTGCTGCTGCAGATGAGGGCCTACAGTCATGGTTTTGAGGTCTGTGTGTGTTGGGTGGGATACGGTAACTTTGCTTTCGTTCGTGCTATGGTAGGTCAGAGCATCAGGGGCAGGAATGTTGGCAAGGCATTAGGGCGCACCAGCTGACTTGCCAATCTTCCTACCCCTGATTTGTGATGTTATTTACCTACTTGAAATGGTTGGATAACAACTATGCATCTCTTGTACAGTGCCAATATATCGAATTGCTCAGCAGGGCTCGGCAAAAAGGGCTACTAGTTCTGAAATTGTTTGCAGGCAGCCAATACTGGGCTACAATGTGAAAAATGTGGCAACATCCCTCGTTTAACGCCCATAAACTGTGTCTCAAACTGAATCCTCTCTGTACCCTGTGATTGCTCATGAATCTGGAATGCCCAAGGGCAACTCAAATCAAATCCGAATTCGATACCATTCATTTTTGCCCTTGGCCGCCCCTCATATCACAAGGAACTCCCCTATCTACCTTTCTCCCTCACCGGTGTTGCCGGCAAAACCACTTCTCACCCGCGATTCCATCTCACGCATTGCATTGCAATCTAATCTACAGTAACAATGTTCATTAGCCCTTGCCGCCCTTGCGCCGCCGCCCAGACCCGCCCTTGCCACCCCCGGGGACGCCCCTTTCTCCTTCTCCCTCACTGGTGTTGCCGGCGCAGCCACCTCCTTCTCACCCGCCTTCTCAGAACCTTCCTCCTTTTTCTCCCCAGCCTTCGACTCATCAGCCCTCCCGGTCCCCTCTGCACCGCCCCTATCCCCGTTACTAGCTGCCTCAGCATCTTCCTTGGCCACATCCTCGTTATTAGATGATGCCTTATCATCAGAAGCGGCCTTTCCTCCCTTGAGCTCCTTCTTGGGCTTCTCAGCAGCGGGCTTGAGGTTCTTGCGCATGTCATAAGCATCCTCGCTATCAGCATAGTACTTCGCCTCAATGTCATTGATCCTGCAAAGATGGACGGAGGGTGGGGGAAGAGGGTGGAGTGTGGAGGAGGAGGTAAGGAGAGGGGAGAGACAGGAGAATGGAAGAAAGTTATTGAACACAGTTGAAGCATACATTGCTCCCTTGCTTCGGAGTTATGACTTGCATGAATTAGACAGGTAGCCAGCCAGCTGGTAACTCGTTTGTAACGGGAAGCTACCTGAGAACGATTAGGGTTTAAGGCTCAGGGTAACTCACTTGTAACCGAGTGTTTGGGTAACTCACTTGTAACCGAGTGTTTGGGTAACTCACTTGTAACCGAGTGTTTGGGTAACTCGCTTGTAACCGAGTGTTTGGGTAGCTCGCTTGTAACCGAGTGTTTGGGTAACTCACTTGTAACCGAGTGTTTGGGTAACTCACTTGTAACCGAGTGTTTCGGTGTAGAGGTGGAAAGCCGCCCGGTTGCTCTTCCTCACATGCAGGGACACGTACTCGGCACCAAACACCTCCTCCATTGCATGCTCTGAGAGGAAAGTCACATGGGGTCATGGGGTGGTGAGGCACGGGTTTATGGGGTGATGGGGCATGGGTCTATGGGGTTGAAAGCATGGGGAGGCAGCAAACACATACTCAGCACCAAACGCCTCCTCCATCGCGTGCCCTGCAGGGCAGGAGTGAGGTGATGGGGTATGGGAATATGGGATGAGACAAGACAATGGAAAAAGATGACTAAGACCCGCTTGGTAGGGAGCACACTCACGAGCAGCCTCACTGCACTCACGAGCAGCCTCACTGCACTCACGAGCAGCCTCACTGCACTCACGAGCAGCCTCACGGCACTCACGAGCAGCCTCACTGCACTCACGAGCAGCCGTCATGAGCTTGGTGGCGAGACCCAGCTTGCGGTGAGTGCGCGACACACTTGGCAAAGAGCACACTCACGAGCACCAATCACTGTCTACCCACGAGCAGCCCCTCTATCTACTCACAGGCACCCCGTCACTCACGGGCAGCCGTCATGAGCTTGGTGGCGAGACCCAGCTTGCGGTGAGTGCGAGACACGGCCAGTGATGTGATGTGCCCGCGACACTCCGTTGACTCCTCCTCCCTGCCATGCCACCATGCCATTCCCATGTCATACCCATGCCCGTGCCCATGCCCAGCCCATCCCCATGCCATTCCATTCCCATACCATGCCATGTCCCAGATATGTCCAGTCCAGGCCCAAGCAGAGATGCCCCACATGCGGCCGGGTGGGGAGATTCGTGAGGATCATGGAGTAACACGAGTTGCACTGAATCTGTTGCAGAATACTACACTTGCGAATAGCTACACTCACCCTCGTTACATTCACATCTTAGCAGCACACACTCACCCCTCGTTATTAGCAGCACACACACCCTCGTTACACTCACATCTTAGCGAGCACATAGCCAACAATCTTCTTGTTATAGTCCTCCGCCACGTAGAGCAGCTGTGGCCACGACAGGATGTGGTACAGGTAGTACGGGGGAGGGGGGAAGGAGGGGAGGAGGGAGGGTGGGGATTTGTGGTGAGGAGAGAACAGATAGCC